TTGTAAAGTAGGCAAGCCGTTAAGATCCGGGGTAGAGTAGGTCTCCAGCAACCCATACTTGCCATAAAAGGCTAATATGCTTGTCGTAAGAGGCGACTAACGAGATCGGGTGGTCAGGCTTGCTGACTTGTTTCATGCATGTCATTGTATCCCTATTGTGTGGATCAATGCGCATGAAGTCAATCTCTGGATTGTCTGGTCCAGACTCAATTATTTATAGACTCCTGGAATATTGCTGAATGCGGCATTAAACAACAAACAAACAAATTGTACTGTAGGCAAGGTGGTTATCGTGGTCCTACAAGCAATGATCCCAGTGTCATATCACCTTATTCCTTCAGTCACATACAATTTTTGTTTGAATAATCTAAGACATTTATCAATAAAACATGACAGGATGGCAAACATATTTCAATTTGGAAACCACATCTTAGCACATGCCATAAATCAACAAGAAACAAATATGCTTGTGGGAAATCTTAGCTTCAACTATTGCATAAAAAGATACTGAATATATATATATATATATATATGTGACCAAGCATGAGATAAGGGACCTTATGGGTGAAATGTCACATTTTGACTTCTCATCATATTTAAAACTACAGTATCTTAGGAACACAAAAATACAATTCACAAGCTTCAAGTTATATTTATTACAGAAATACATGACATCACCCATTTGGACCCATTTTCTGCAAAGTCCCATTTGGACTTATAACTGTTTATGTCATAGTTGCAGTGTTTAGATACAATGTCTGATTAATTGAAAGTAGAAGTGAATGTTGAAATGTTTTGAAATAATGTTTCGATTACATGACGAACTAACGAGAGAAAAATAAGATATTTTTATATATCCGCACACATGGCTATTTTTTACTGGAGTAAGAGGACGTCAATGTCCCTCTTTGTGATGCTGCACCACAATTGTTTCCTGGCACCCATATGGTCACTTTTCTCCATATATTGCAAAGAAAAGTAAACTTATGTATGGAGACACACTGTGAAGTATTTCTGCTTCAACTGAGTGAGTGAGTATGGTTTTACGCCGCTTTTAGCAATATTCCAGCAATATCACGGCGGGGGACACCAGAAATGGGCTTGACACATTGTACCCATGTTGGGAATCGAACCTGGGTCTTCGGCGTGACGAGCGAACGCTTTAACCACTAGGCTACCCGACCGCCCCTCTGCTTCAACTGAGAGTGAATACTGGCATAGACAGATTGTTGAAAAACTAGACCTGTGAGCAGGGGGTCTTGTCCTCAGTGGTGAATGGAGGGAGACCAGGCTGTATTGACACAATTCTCTTATGAATAGAACTGTTTAAGCTGGCAAACCTGTATAGCAGTGTGCAGTCAAGCCCAACCCTGCAGGGTAGTCACAAGAGGGACTCTGTCAAAGATTCTCATGTCAATTTTCCAACTTGAATGTTCATCCTGTAAACCATTACCACCACATCATGTGTAATCTCGTGCTTGATTCCTCCCCAAACCCACATTAATTACAATATTCAAATATTTAAAGTAACTTAATTTATGACTCGGTCACCAAGATCAAATAAAATGAAGAAATATGTGTTTATTAAGCCCCTCAATAGTACAGGAAGACCCGGCGACGCCTTCCTGTGTCACCTTGATGTTGAACCACATGGATCATCTTGTCTGCTGCTTGTGACAAGTAACAAGACTCTTCACATCCATAATAGACAAAGTAATGATATATTTACATGCTGTTTTGACAGTAGAATGTGTTGAAGGTGGCAGTGATTCACAATCTGTAGATATGCTGCAGTCTGTATTGTGGCCAGGTAGCCCATGTTGGTATAGTGTCTCAGTTGTGTCTCAATAGTGCATGTTTCAGTAGTGTATGTTTTGGTAGGAACAAGCTTGTCACATCAGTTCTGTAACATCTTGAAGGAAAGTAACCAGCGTGTATACCAACTGTTGACTGAATATTTACAAAATAACCTCCACCAAACACGAATTTGCTTCAAGTGGGCACCTTATCATGTTTATGTTTGAGCAAGTAAACACATTTTAGAAAATATTTTCTTTATAAATTTAACTTGTATCAGATCTGGCTTCTCTCAATAATTACAAGTCTATGTTTCAAAAGTGTGATTAGTCCGAACAGAACGTGTAGCATTCCGAATGCAGCACAATGTGGGAGTTGTGTAAGGGAATCGTCAAATTGATCAGAAATAGCTACTGGGAATATTTTTGCTTTGAACTGTTAACAAGAACTTATTAAAGTATTTTGGTCATAATGACATTACCATGAATGCTTGATGTACTCTCTGTGACATTAAGCATGGAAGTAAAGGCACCCTTGTCATACCCCTAATGTTAAAAGTTGAAAACTTAAAGGACCCCAAGATCCCCCTTAATTTGAACACTGACAGTGATATATGTTTACGCCTCACTAATTTAATGGAAGCAACTGGCCATGGAACATTTTCATGATTTTTATCAACTTTTGATAGGAAATTCTTCAATATCATTACCGGGTTTAGACATTTTTCAGGACATTTTGATTCAGTCAGTGTCCTAGAAAATTAACCTGATTATCTGTTCCAGACACGATTATTTACAGCCCACCTTCATATAGCTGGAATATCTGAAATTGAGCTCCTGATTACATCAATACACAAGATATCTCCTATATTATTGAAATAATTATAATATGAAGAGCCTAACACCATGTTGTGTACAGCGACTGCTTACTGTATTCCTACTGTAGAACCATGACCAGGATATACTGCAGACTGACTTAGACCATCTTTGTCTGTCTTACAGACCCTGATACAAATATATATCAAATACAGCCCATGCAAGTCTATAATGTTTGGCAAGTCTAGATTACTGCAGTATCTGAAAATGAAGAGAGTAACTGGGCTCCCTTTTATTTATATTTTTATTAAGATAACTGAACAACTGTTTTTTCTGTACAACATGTTCATTTCAGAGACTAGATGTTAGTCTACCCAGTACTGTGTGGGGTCACACGACTTCAATAAACAATGTGGTTTCAACAACAGCCTCATATTACCTACCGCTGATATTAGACAAAACATATAGGAGCTTGCATGTCAGTGTAGCCATGCTGGGGTCTCAGGCTCCACCGCAGGGTACACTGATTCTGTAAGGGCACTGTTATGTCATTTGAACCTGTTTCTGTCTTGTTAAACTGGTTCTGACACTGACTATCAGCAGGCTGGGCTGTCCACATGTCTACATTACTGTATTAGATGGGGCTGATCCAGTGTTAGGTAAGTGTAAAGCCAGACTGAGGTAAATCAGATCATGTCATGTTTGTGTGATAAGTATTGGCGGAATTACTCAGCAGTTATGATACAAAGATATATAGACATTTATAGAGGATATTATATGAGTGTTCATGTCATACTATGTTTACTACTTATTTGTCATAAACATAGTATGACATGAACACTAATATAATGTTCTATTTATTACCGAAGAAGATGTCTACATGCAGGGACAAATTTAAGTGTTCACGTTTAAGGACAGCAAGTCGCAACAGCAGCGGAACCCCAATTTGTCGAATGAAGTCAACAATCTTCAGCTATGACGTCGTTTCTAGTGTGACATCATTGCGACCTCACATCACAATAAGTTTCAAATGAAGTCAACAATGTCGTCTGGAAGACGGAAACAATACACTGTTGTTTCGTGATGTGATATGATCCCAGGGCACATGTGATTTTTATGAACCCCGATATGTTTGCCCTCGTAGGTAATAAATCACTGATGTTAGAACTGGGATATGTCATATATCATTGGATAATTTAAATATGTCCTTTATGTATGTCATATCAATTGATCTTTTATATCCTGATCAAGGAATGCTATTCCACAAGCAATCCCAAACCAAACTCATCATTCTCAGAAGTGCTAGAATGTTCATCCACTGCCAAATCTCACTGTATAAGGGAAATTAGCTACATATTTGTGTAAAATTGTGCTGTCATATTTGATGACAACTCTCATTTTCCTTTATCAACAGATGAAAGGTTATCAAACATTGAGTTTGAAGGAAACTATTTTTTGCAGACTGATTTCCAACCACTTCCTGGTAGACATGCTAAGCAGTTAGTCAAACTGTCCTTCTATAGAAGCTGATATAGATTGCCAGTTTTCAACAATGATCAGTCCTTCAGAGAAATGTATACTCATAATGGCGATGTCTCCTTGGGGCGTGGATTGACTGATCAATGCATATCAGTTGTCCAGGCTCCAGTGACAGTATACTGATGTCGAGTTAAGTATCAATATTTAACATCGATGGCTCACTGCTTAGTGGGGGGTCACGGGTGGCCCAGTCGTCTAAGGCGCCGCGATTCGCTGTGCAGAGTTGCGTCCCTTGGGTACGCCAGAAACCTATGATTGTGGGTTCAGATCCCGGTTCGCCCCGATTATGTTTCTAGGTTTGTCAGCACCATACCCGTGCTCGTGGGTTTCACCGAAGTGGTAAATGTCTGAAACCTGCATCACTTGGGGTTTTCCTCCAACATTAAGCTGACACGCCGTGGTATGACCGGAATGCTGTTAAAAGCAGCGTTAAACCCAACTCATTCACTCACTCACTCACTCTGTTCAGATGGCCATCATGGTTATCGGATTCTGACCAGTTGTTTTAGCAACTTTAGCAACACACACACACTGCTTAGTGGATCCTTACTTGTATACAATGTATAAGAAATAAATTACTTGTGGTCTTTGTTTATCGTACAATAAAACACTACTCCCCTCATGGTTTATTCTCCAAGCAGTGTTTTATTGTACAATAAACAACTCCCACTCATCGTTTATTTCTTAAATCTGATGAGATGAAGCATGACAAATGTTTCCCTAACAGGAAAATATAGTTTGCCATGAGATTATCAAAACTGCAGGAATATGAATAGTGACAGTTTTGAATGAAACCATGTTGCAGATATCTTATTGCCTCAATTTTCATGATCCCTATCCGTTTTGTAGTTTACGATGTCTGACGCAAGAAGACGAAAGGGTAAAGGTGGAGGTCGTAGTACAGACCCAAGGTCAAGGTCAAAGACGCCGACAGAGAGCGGAAGTGATGGGGGAGCGCCTGACGTGGTTACATCCATCTTCAGCAATGTGATCCTGGGGGTGATAATGATGTGTGTGTGCGGCTACGCCCATGCCTGGCTAATGTACACACTGCATGAAAATAGAATGTGGTTCACAAACATCAAGGTAACCTATACAACTCAGAAAAGGTTAAGGAACACACGATTTATTTCATATTACAATGGTAAATCTGTGATGCTTTGACTAATTAAATAAAGTTAAGGACCACCCAATTCTTTCATATTACTATAGTTAATCTGTCATGCCAATAACTACAGTGTATATGAATTGTAATATTTTAACTTAATTACAGCATAAGTAATCATATAACATAGTGTCATATAAGGTTCACTATTTGTTTGTAACTAGTTGTGTAACAAGCAGTCTCGTGCTATATATAGGTTCCTGGGAACTTGGCTTGCAGCTGTGGGACATAAACAAAGCTGAAGCAGCAAACAGTGTTGTTTCATTGTAGGCAGCTCGGTCATAGAACTTATGTTGGAGGGTATAGGAACATTGTAAGCTAACCCTCTGGGTATGATTATATGCAGTCAACCAGTTTAATCATCCCATCCGTTTTTTGCCTCTAAGATAAACATAGGTTGATAATATTTTGTAGACATACATCTTCATATTGGCAATAAAAGGTGTGGTAATGAGATGTGAATGTGAAGTTTTGTTATTGCAGGAGGTGGAGAGGGAAATATCATTCCGCACAGAGTCTGGCCTGTACTACTCCTACTATAAACAGATGGTCAAGGCTCCATCTATATCACAAGGTACTGTAGGAAGATAAAACCAAATGTGGAATGATTAGTTGACCTGGTTAGGCATGTTGAATTGAGTGACATTGCATCTTCAATTATGTCAATGTTACGTGTATGTAGTCGATATGTGCGTACAGTTGATGTGTGTATACAGTCAATATGTGTGTACAGTTGATGTGTGTGTACAATCGATATGTATGTACGGTCGATATGTGTGTACCGTTGATATGTGTGTACCGTTGATATGTGTGTACATATGATATGTGTGTACAGTCAATATGTGTGTACGGTTGATATGTGTGTACAATCGATATGTGTGTACGGTTGAAATGTGTGTACAGTCGGTATGTGTGTATGGTTGATATGTGTACAATCGATATGTGTGTACGGTTGATATGTGTGTACAGTTGATATGTGTGTACAGTCGATATGTGTGTACAGTTGATATGTGTGTACAGTCGATATGTGTGTACAGTTGATATGTGTTTACAATCGATATGTGTGTACAGTTGATATGTGTATACGGTCGATATGTGTGTACAGTTGCTATGTGTGTACAGTTGCTATGTGTGTGGCTGCTATTTGTGTCCAGTTGATATGTGTGTACAGTCGCTATGTGTGCCCAGTTGATATGTGTGTATACTCAGAATGTATGTACAGTTCATGTGTGTACAGTCGATATGTGTGTACAGTCAGAATGTGTGTACATTGTTGGTTCTGTGTGCAGGTATCTACGACCTGATCCATGACAAGGTGACAGAACACCCGAGTGTCATCAACATCCTAGAAAGAATGAACATCTACCAGGAGGTGGTCCTGGCCATCATGTACAGAGTCCTGGGGGTCAAGGTGAGTCCTTGGGGGTCAAGGTGAACACTGGGTATCTTGTACAGAGTACTGGAGGTCAAGGTTGAGTATAAGGTGTCAAGGTGAACACTGGGTACCTTGTACAGAGTACTGGAGGTCAAGGTTGAGTATAAGGGGTCAAGGTGAACACTGGGTATCGTGTACAGAATACTTGTGGTCAAGGTTGAGTATAAGGGGTCAAGGTGAACACTGGGTATCTTGTACAGAATACTGGAAGTCAAGGTTGAGTATAAGGGGTCAAAGTGAACACTGGGTATCTTGTACAGAATACTGGATGTCAAGTTTGTGTATAAGGGGTCAAGGTGAACACTGGATATCTTGTACAGAATACTTGAGGTCAAGGTTGAGTATAAGGGGTCAAGGTGAACACTAGGTATCTTGTACAGAGTACTGGAGGTCAAGGTTGAGTATAAGGGGTCAAAGTGAACACTGGGTATCTTGTACAGAGTACTGGAGGTCAAAGTTGAGTATAAGGGGTCAAGGTGAACACTGGGTATCTTGTACAGAATACTGGAGGTCAAGGTGAGTATAAGGGGTCAAGGTGAACACTGGGTATCTTCTACAGAGTACTGGGGGTCAAAGTAAGCACTGGGTATCTTATCCAGAGTACTGGGGGTCAAGGTTGAGTATAAGGGGTCAATGTGAACACTGGGTATCGTGTACAGAGTACTGGAGGTCAAATGTTGAGTATAAGGGGTCAAGGTGAACACTGGGAGTCACATTGAAGCATTGTGAAGGTAAGTTCTGGGTATCTTATATTTGTTTGTTTGTTTGTTGTTTAACGCCTCACTCAGCAATATTCCAGCTATATGACGGCAGTGGTATCTTATATGAAGTACTTGGGGTCAAGATGATTGCAAGACTTGTCTACCATTGTACCCAGGTAAATCTACAGATGACAAAGATCTTCATTGAAGCATGTTTGTCTTCTTAGTTTACTTTTCCGCGAAATATCACAACATGGAGTGAATCTCGTTTTTGATGATGTGATTGGTCTGTCTACAGATGTTGCCGATCCTCTTCTACATCATATGTACCTTTGCACTCCACGCCCTGCTGGTGGCTGCTCTCTTCACGTCAGCATGGATTCTCAGTGGGACATGGCTGGCAGGCGTCCTTACATCAGGGTTCTATGTTGTCAACAGGTTCGTTACAGTCATATTTTCTACCAACAAAATTTAAAGCATTTTCAGAGTTGCCTCCCTTGACCCTGCCAGGATATGCTGGTTGTGGGTTTGAATCTCAGATTTGCCTAGATTATGATATAAGCAACATACCAATGTTCATAGGTTTTTAAACTTCAGCAACCTGTGAGAATTTTGGGGAATGTAAAGTTCTACTGTACTGTTCAATCCAACTCACTAACCTCTGATCTGTGATTGGGGCATGTTCCAGGATTGACACAACTCGTGTTGGTTACACCATTCCCCTGAGAGAGAGTTTCTCCCTCCCATTCCTGTGGGTCCAGGTGACTGCCATTACAATCTACTTCCAGGCAGGTGCCATTTCCAAACTTAAAGAGGTAAGTCAGGTTACGTAAGTGCTGTTATTTCCTTTAATATCAAATACACCTTGTGGGGATTCTAAAGAAGGCTAAATCTCTGGAACGTGATCACAAACTGCTGTACAAATGTTGATTAGGTGGCAACAATGGCTGCCTTGTTTGATGAAACTTTGATGAGTCTCTGGTTTGCCTGCTCCAGATCTGAATACACTACCCAAGTCATGATTGATTTCTCCCACAATGGCTGACCCTCTGATGTTCTTGGTGTCACCTAGGGTTGTTTTGAGGAAAAAATATTTTGTTTGTGAAAGTACTGGGCAAAAACTGTTCTGTTTTTCCAAACATGAGAATTTCCCTCGAATTCCCGGAATTCCGAGATTTTTCCTCGCAGTATTATGTAACATGTACTTATTTTAATCCTTGTTTTTAAACATTTCTTTTGGGCGAATCACCCATAGATTGGCCATGTTACTCCAAAAAACAGTTTTGCTGTAGTCATGTCTGTTCTACATAATAAAAAACCCCAAATTGTTCACCAAACATGCTGGATACCAACAAAAAAATTGCATGACTTAATGCAGTGAGCTAAAACATATTCATTGATGCCAAAAAACATTGTATTATTACAAACGAGGTCCAGGAGCAGAAACATATATATTTATTCAGATTGTCTTGTCATCTCCCACATTGGATTGAACACGGAAACATTGCTGATGTGGTTCATGTTATGTACTGACAGTCTGTTTCTGTGTTTACAGAAGGTGCTCCTGGCAGTCATCCTCACGTTCACATTCCTCTTCGCGCTTTGCTGGCAGTTCAACCAGTTTGTGTTCCTGCTGCAAGTGTCGACTATATTCGGGGTCTGGATCCTTGGCATCATCCCAGCTTACAAGGTAACACCGGAGTCTGACAGGTCCCGGTTCACGCACTCACCCGCTGCCTTGGAAGGGGTAGCCCTGGCCAAATCACTAAATCCCTGGGGATTCCGGGTTAGAACAGGTCCCCGGCTACGATGTTTCAGGGGTACATCTTGCCTGTCCACTTGTGTATTAAACCAGCAGTTATGACTCCACAAGTTACTAAGGGTGAACAGCTGGCAGAGCTTCGGATAAGCTTTTGGTGTTGTGGATATTTTACCCATGCATTTTAAAATCATTGGGTATCAGTAATTCTATCTGGGTATTCAAATTTCTGTAACCCACTAGTTTTTACACATGTGGGTATTTCAGTTAAATATTTAAAAACTCTATTCATCTAGTCCCTGCAAACTGGTGTCGTGTGGGTTCGAGAGCTTTATAGGACTCAAATATACCACGATACTTCCACAAGGAAGTGTGATGGCAAATGATCATGATGTAACTGTCATCGTGGAGTTTGGCAAGGTTGACGGAATGCCCGTTTATAATTTCAAAATTAGTTGCTGATTTGCTAATCGGATACGCAGGGTTACTTCACAATATTTTGATGATACGCACAAGTTTTATTTTTGTAGCGTATCTGTAATGTTCGTTGCGTATTTGATACGCTTGTATTTTATTTTACTGCGTATTTCTGCATTTCTGATGCGTATTTTCAAAGATACGCAGCTTACCTGGAGATCTGGCTGGTGTGTCATGGTACTGCATAGAATAGCGTGCTCAGGGTTTTGTTGCATTTATACTTGCCAGGACTAGTGAGGATCAGGAACGGCCAGCGAAGTAATGGCAGGTTAAATGAGATGATGATATGACAAATACGCATTTGATGAATGCCATGAAAACAACAATTATTCTTTTACCCACATATCAGTAAAGTTTGATGTTCAGGATAACTAACTACTATAGCTATTTGAGGAGGATCATGAACAACATGGCCAGTGAGTGGGAGGGTAGAAGTAATGATGTGCCTGTTTGACAGGTACGCAACATGCTGCATGTGTTGATGGCCACCATGCTGCTGGTGTGCCTCTTCCAGTTCATCAACAAGATGATCCTGGTGTCCCTCGGGATGAGCCTCGTCCTGGCTTCGTATGCTGTCATGTACATCAAGGTAGGGAGTCTAGATCTCACCCTGGTCCGACATTCTGTGAGAAGTATGCACTGTGTTGTGTTGTGTTGTCTGTGAGAAATATACATTGTGGTGTCTGTGAGAAGTATACACTGTGGTGTGTTGCCTGTGAGAAGTATACACTGTGTTGTGTTGTCTGTGAGAAGTATACACTGTGTTGTGGTGTGTTGTCTGTGAGAAGAATACACTGTGTTGGGGTGTGTTGCCTGAGAGAAATATACACTGTGTTGTGTAGTGTTGCCTGTGAGAAGTATACACTGTGTTGTGTTGCCTGTGAGAAGTATACACTGTGTTGTGTTGTCTGTGAGAAGTATACAATATGTTGTGGTGTGTTGTCTGTGAGAAGTATACACTGTGTTGTGGTGTGTTGTCTGTGAGAAATATACACTGTTTTTTGGTGTGTTGCCTGTGAGAAATATACACTGTGTTGTGTAGTGTTGCCTGTGAGAAGTATACACTGTGTTGTGTTGTCTGTGAGAAGTATACACTGTGTTGTGTTGTCTGTGAGAAGTATACACTGTGTTGTGTTGCCTGTGAGAAGTATACAATGTGTTGTGTTGCCTGTGAGAAGTATACACTGTGTTGTGTTGTCTGTGAGAAGTATACACTGTGTTGTGTTGCCTGTGAGAAGTATACACTGTGTTGTGTTGTCTGTGAGAAGTATACACTGTGTTGTGTTGTCTGTGAGAAGTATACACTGTGTTGTGTTGCCTGTGAGAAGTATACACTGTGTTGTGTAGTATTGCCTGTGAGAAGTATACACTGTGTTGTGTTGTCTGTGAGAAGTATACACTGTGTTGTGTTGCCTGTGAGAAGTATACACTGTGTTGTGTTGCCTGTGAGAAGTATACACTGTGTTGTGTTGCCTGTGAGAAGTATACACTGTGGTGTGTTGCCTGTGAGAAGTATACACTGTGGTGTGTTGCCTGTGAGAAGTATACACTGTGGTGTGTTGCCTGTGAGAAGTATACACTGTGGTGTGTTGTCTGTGAGAAGTATACACTGTGTTGTGGTGTGTTGTCTGTGAGAAGTATACACTGTGTTGTGTAGTGTTGTCTGTGAGAAGTATACACTGTGGTGTGTTGCCTGTGAGAAGTATACACTGTGTTGTGTTGCCTGTGAGAAGTATACACTGTGTTGTGTTGTCTGTGAGAAGTATACACTGTGTTGTGGTGTGTTGTCTGTGAGAAGTATACACTGTGTTGTGGTGTGTTGTCTGTGAGAAGTATACACTGTGTTGTGTAGTGTTGTCTGTGAGAAGTATACACTGTGGTGTGTTGTCTGTGAGAAGTATACACTGTGTTGTGTAGTGTTGTCTGTGAGAAGTATACAATATGTTGTGTAGTGTTGGCTGTGAGAAGTATACACTGTGGTGTGTTGTCTGTGAGAAGTATACACTGTGTTGTGGTGTGTTGTCTGTGAGAAGTATACACTGTGTTGTGTTGCCTGTGAGAAGTATACACTGTGTTGTGTAATGTTGCCTGTGAGAAGTATACACTGTGTTGTGTTGCCTGTGAGAAGTATACACTGTGTTGTGTTGCCTGTGAGAAGTATACACTGTGTTGTGTTGCCTGTGAGAAGTATACACTGTGTTGTGTTGTCTGTGAGAAGTATACACTGTGTTGTGTTGCCTGTGAGAAGTATACACTGTGTTGTGTTGTCTGTGAGAAGTATACACTGTGTTGTGTTGTCTGTGAGAAGTATACACTGTGTTGTGTAGTGTTGCCTGTGAGAAGAATACACTGTGTAGTGTTGTCTGTGAGAAGTATACACTGTGTTGTGTTGCCTGTGAGAAGTATACACTGTGTTGTGTTGCCTGTGAGAAGTATACACTGTGTTGTGGTGTGTTGTCTGTGAGAAGTATACACTGTGTTGTGTTGTGTTGTCTGTGAGAAGTATACACTGTGTAGTGTTGTCTGTGAGAAGTATACACTGTGGTGTGTTGCCTGTGAGAAGTATACACTGTGTTGTGTAGTGTTGCCTGTGAGAAGAATACACTGTGTAGTGTTGTCTGTGAGAAGTATACACCGTGGTGTGTTGCCTGTGAGAAGTATACACTGTGTTGTGTTGCCTGTGAGAAGTATACACTGTATTGTGTTGCCTGTGAGAAGTATACACTGTGTTGTGTTGTCTGTGAGAAGTATACACTGTGTTGTGTTGCCTGTGAGAAGTATACACTGTGTTGTGTTGCCTGTGAGAAGTATACACTGTGTTGTGTAGTGTTGCCTGTGAGAAGTATACACTGTGTTGTGTTGTCTGTGAGAAGTATACACGGTGTTGTGTTGCCTGTGAGAAGTATACACTGTGTTGTGTTGCCTGTGAGAAGTATACACTGTGTTGTGTTGCCTGTGAGAAGTATACACTGTGTTGTGTTGCCTGTGAGAAGTATACACTGTGTTGTGTTGTCTGTGAGAAGTATACACTGTGTTGTGTTGTCTGTGAGAAGTATACACTGTGTTGTGTTGCCTGTGAGAAGTATACACTGTGTTGTGTTGCCTATGAGAAGTATACACTGTGTTGTGGTGTGTTGTCTGTGAGAAGTATACACTGTGTTGTGTAGTGTTGTCTGTGAGAAGTATACACTGTGTTGTGTTGACTGTGAGAAGTATACACTGTGTTGTGTTGTGTTGCCTGTGAGAAGTATACACTGTGTTGTGGTGTGTTTTCTGTGAGAAGTATACACTGTGTTGTGTTGTCTGTGAGAAGTATACACTGTGTTGTGTTGCCTGTGAGAAGTATTCACTGTGTTGTGGTGTGTTTTCTGTGAGAAGTATACACTGTGTTGTGTTGTCTGTGAGAAGTATACACTGTGTTGTGTTGCCTGTGAGAAGTATTCACTGTGTTGTGGTGTGTTTTCTGTGAGAAGTATACACTGTGTTGTGTTGGCTGCAGGGGGAGGTGGAGAGATCTGCTGGTGTGATCAAGGGAATCGTGACGACGGTCGTCTACAGTGTGCTGGTGCTGGTGCTGGCGGGAGTCATCACGACACTGCTCAAGGTAGGCCCCACTCAGCTGTCACTCGCCTCCCTGAATACTGGATTGTTACTTATGTAAGATATAGTCTAGTTATCTCATTGGCCAGCAGCTGACTGGTACAAATCCTCACATAATAAATAAATAATTTCACATTACAAACCTCTACAGCATAAAACTGATGTGAGACTATCATTCCAGGGATTTATCTAGGATTCTGCACTGAGTGCCCTTGGCAGGCAAATTGTTAACAAAATATCATTGTGTTCAAAATTGAGATTTTTTAGATGTTCTTCCTACATTCTGGGGTATTTTAACATTGCAATACTGTAAGAATATGCATGAAAGCCTCTCCCTCTCTACTGGGCCTGTTATCATGTGATTACAGTTACCTCTACAACGCCATAACATTAGCTATAACTATATTAACATGAATTTTGAAATTCCAAATTGGAATTTTTGGCTGACATTTTGGGTCAAAATTGCGTCTGAATATTGCATTTGTCTGGAGTAATGTGTCTCTGTACATGATCTTTGGATGTAGGGGAAATAAATACATCCGTGCTAATGACTGGGGTAATTGTAGGATATAACAGGTTGGTTTCTCGATGGATAATGCTAACTGTAAAAGTACAGTTCACAATTTGTAATCTGAGGCCCATGGCTTGTCCAGGTGTAGAACCTGTGTTGGAGAATGGTGTGCAGGCAGTTTGTTGAAATGTGGCAGAAAAACAAAGAGATTTTTATCCCCCATCAGTCAGCCATCCGCTCCATTTCTGGAGCAGAACTCCGAAACAGTTAAATATTTCTTGTTGAAACTTTCTATGTAGATCTAGTGGAGAACTGTTACCGTTTGATTATTTGGGATTTTCATGCTTTATATTTTGTTGCGTTTTCATGATTTTTCATGATTTTTCATGATGAAAACAAGTGAAATATTTCTGTTGAAAGTTGCTATGTAGAGTGGTGTAGTCTGGTGGTGTACTGGCGCCTTTTGATGATTTGGGATTTGTAAAAATACTGAACAGCATTAATCTTTTCTTCACTGAACTGGCGTATCCAGTGGTGATGAAGCCAAGGTGGGGTATAAGTAGCCAAACTCTATGTCCGAATTTCACCTGACCGGGGGATGTGTGATCCACATAATTTTGGGAGTAATCTGAGATTTGTCAATGTATGTTTTCCTCCCAGCTCCTGCTGCAAGTTGATGCTGATGACCACATATTCAAGTTCCTGAGTGGGAAGTTTGGTTACGGGAACCAGAGGTGAGTAGGACTCCTCTCATGAGTTGGAGGGACAATTCAGAACTTTTACAATTTGCAATACCGTATTCGACGTAATAAGCACCCCGCTCTAATAAGTGCCCACGGCGATATATGCTAATATATTGGCTAGTGAACAATCCCAATTATCACCCCTTCCGATTTATCAATGTACACAAGACTTATTTATTCGTGTATAATACGCACTCGTGTGTTATATGCACCCTTAATTATGGTTAATTAAATTCTGGAAAAATGTATCTGTCGTATATAAACAGTTCAGACTGTCAGCATAAACCATGAAATTTATCTTTCAACTCTTTTTTCCACCAAAGTAATATTCTAATAAGAGCCCCCTATTTCTAATTTTGAGAGCGCCCTGGGCGCTTATTACGTCGAATACGGTAGTTACACAAACATACAAATCGGCCATCGGTCAGCATTACACATCAGAACGTCCCAGACAAACATAACTTGTTTGATAGGCATTACTTAGAAGTTGGCGGATGACAAGTTAGACACAATTTTATGGATAACAACTTCTTTAATACTGTAAAAAAGCGACGTTTCGGTATAGATCCTTATACCGTTGTCAAGCAAGACTGAATGAGGGACATAGTGCAGAATATATATAGCAAGTGGAGGATTAACAGTAGAGGATTAACAGTAACAACAAGGGCATACATGAGTGGGATAACATAGGTAGGTGTGACAACAAGGATTAAGACAAACATGTCTGCCATTTCAGACGTGGCTGTGATTGTAGTCGGATGTAAAGTTGTGATCACTGCTGAATAGATGCATATAGGGGGTCTTCCAACCAGGTGTAGTTTGGGCAAAGATGAATGGTAAAGGATGAATAAGGTAACACTCTTGTTTTGTCGTTGTATGAAATATTGCAAGTCTAGAATGAAATAATGACAATAATCAATGCTGTAACTTGTCAGCAAGTTTGGACCAACAGGCAGTGGATGATTTGCTTTGATAGGTCAGTCTGTTGTTACTCCAAAAATAGTAGACCCGTGAGAATTGGTCTTCAGCAACCCATGCTTGCTGCAATGGGTGACTATGCTTGTCGTAAGAGGCAAGTAATGGGATCGGTTGGTCAGGCTCGCTCATTTGGTTGATGCATGTCATCATATCCCAATTGCGTGGATTGATGCTCATGATGTCAATCACTGTATTGTCTGGTCCAGACTCGATTATTTACAGACCGCCATCATATAGCTGGAATATCGCTGAGTGCGGCGTTAAACAACAAACAACAACAACAACCAATAATAGACAACATACAGAAAAATATGTTATGTGCTGGGGCCATTAGGTTACATCATTCTCAGTGTTCGAAACTTATACGTGAAAGTCAATGATGTTAAAAGTTAAAGATTTAGGTGTCCCTAGATTCATATGCTATAGAAGCAAACCTTAAGGACCCCATACCCCTTAATTTCGAACAGGGATGGTGGGGTAGAATAGTGGTCAAAGCGTTCACCTGTCACGCTGAAGACCCGGGTTCGATTCCCGACATGGGCACAATGTGTGAAGCCCCTTTCTGGTGTCCCCCGCTGTGATATTGCTGGAATATTGCTAAAAGCTTCATAAAACCACCGTGAAGATTCCGGTGTAGAACAGGTCTTCAGCAACCCATGCTTGCCGTAAGAGGCGACTATGCTTGTTGTAAAAGGCGACTAACAGGATTGGATGGTCAGGCTCGCTGACTTGGTTGATGCATGTCATCGACCCCAATTGTGTGGATCGATGCTCATGATATCAATCACTGGATTGTCTGGTCCAGACTCGATTATTTACAGACCGCCGTCATATAGCTGGAATATTGCTGAGTGCGGCGTTAAACAACAAACAAACCAAACCAAATCATAAAACCACAATCACTCACTCACTCACTCATTTCGAACAATGATGCAAGAAGTTAAACCAAGTTAGAGGAGTTTTGGTCAGTGAGCTTGCACTGTGCTGAGAAGCATTGTTTGTCATGATATTGTGTCATTGTCTTAAATATGTGGTCTTGCTGCCATTAGTGTGAAGAGTGGGGCATTGTTGTACAGCTAATACTCCTGTGTTGCAGGGACTTTGACTCCCGTCTGTACCTGTGTCTCGGGGCGTTCAACTTCCTGACTGGCGACACATATGAACGCCTGACATCTGGGCTGGTGTTCCCTCCCTATGCTCTGTGTCATGCTGCCATGCTCATCATACTGGTCATCGCTGTCATACAGAACTTCAGGTTGGTGGCCTTCCTTCAAAAATGACTGCTCCCTGATATATTTATTTAGGATTATGAAGTACAGATTCTCGTACTTTTTTCTGGCAAGTGTGGGTTCGAATCCCAGACGGGACTCAACCCCCAAAAAGTATGAGAATCTGTACTTTACTAAGAAAGTGTTATCCCAAATATAACATTTGTTACATTTGACCACTTTCAAGATGGCATTGTGTATTCATAGCTCTCGGCCATGCGAGCCATGCCAATTGACACTTGTCAGAGGGGTACTCAAAGTACGTGATCTAGACTACCAGTTGTCGGACTTTCATTTTTGTGGAAGCCTCGTTGGCTGAGTGGGTTAGATCGCTGACTTTTTGTGCTGGCGATTAGACTCAACCCAAAAAAGTACGAGAATCTGTACTTTACTAAGAAAGTGTTTTCCCAAATATAACATTTGTTACATGGTGTATGTTGTTGATATGTTTTCTGTTAGTGATTACAATGTGTGAACCCATTCTTGGTACCATGATATTGATGTGTATAGCGATATACTCACTCTTTGCTGTCATTGTACCCAGACGACTTGAATCAATACCAACACCAGAATTGCTGGCCTGTTCGAAGCTTCTGGATGGTAAAGTCTCTGACCTGTTTCACTTTGGCTTTGTGCTTTCCTCTCACATGTTGCTGACAGTGTCATATCACAAAATGAACTTGAACCCTCACTCACTCACTCACTCACTCACTCACTCACTCACTCACTCACTCACTCACTCACTCACTCACTCACTCACTCACTCACCCACCCACCCACCCACCCATTCACTCACTCACTCACTCACTCACTCACTCACTCACTCACTCACTCACTCACTCACTCACTCACTCACTCACTTGCTCAATCACTCAATCACTCTCCTCTTGATGATATGAATGGTGTGAAAGGCTGTATTTGAAAGGACATGTCACTGACTTCTTTCCCTGCAGTAAACCAAATGAAAGCAAGATGGCTGCTGAACCAGCAGCAAATGGCAAGAGCCAGTCTGCTGGAGACAAGGTCAAGGTCACAGAGACACCAGCCAGGCACATCCTCAGCAACCGACCAGAAGTGGCCTATATAGCAAGTAGGTCACTGCACATACACCTCCTCCAGATATACAGTCAATACCAAATGTAGACAATATCAGTAAACATTTGTGGCCAAGGTTTGGACACAGGCATTATAAGTTCTGGTACTAGTTTTACATGCAATGTTTCTTCTCTGATATGGTCCACCATCTTGAAATTTTTCTCCCAAAATTTCTGGACCGCCTCTGTGGTCTAGTGGTAGAGCATCCGCCCAGAGAGCAGAATGTCCGGGGTTCGATCCCCGGCCGCGTCATACCAAAAGACGTTAAAAGATGGTACTTGTTGTTAACCTGTCTGGCGCTCAGCATTAAAGGGCTAAAACAAGGACTGATTGGCTCCTAGTCAGTATACTGTGTCTGAGTGGGGTATTCATGTTAAACTGTGGCATGGGGTCTCAGTGGGCTAGCACTATAAATCGGCATCAGTCTGGACTAGTACAAGCAGCCACACACACACGTGCATGCACATCGCTATATAAGTGCAATAATCTTGGACGCGATGTTAAACCCAATTTCACCTCACCTCACCTCTAGAATTTCTGTCATTTAGGACTTTAAAACATCCACCTTGAGTGAGGTTTTGAATGGAGTTATCAAGTTGATAAAAATAGTCTGTTGTTTTTTTTCATTTATTTTCTTGATTTATTTAATCGACATTAGATTGGGGAAAGCTGAAACAAAAGTAGGATATTATAAGTGTGTCCTCCACTTGAGCTGATGCCAGTGTTTCTGCTTCAGTTCAGACGTTGTTGTTTGGTCTGCTGGCCATGTCCACGCTGAGGATGAAGTACCTGTGGACGCCGTACATGTGTGTGCTGGGAAGTGTGGCCTTTGTAGACAACGCCATGTGGAAAGCTGTCATGAAGAAGTTCAAGTTGAAGGAATTCTCTGTAAGTCATGCTCCCTGTGTTGAGAACCTGCAGGAATATAGAACTGACTAAATGACTCAGTATCTCAGTGACGGAGATAGGGAAGAATGGATAAGATGAGAGTGTCCCGCCTGCCCATTTGGTCTCTAGACACTGACATTTGTGCCCCAGCCCCTGTCCCCGATCCAGCCCCTGTCCCCGCTCCAGCCTCTGTCCCCGCTCCAGCCTTTGACCCCGCTCCAGCCTCTGTCTCCGCTCCAGCCCCTGTCCCCGCTCCAGCCTCTGTCCCCGCTCCAGCCTCTGGCCCCACCCCAGCCCCTGTCCCCGATCCAGCCTCTGTCCCCGATCCAGCCCCTGTCCCCGATCCAGCCCCTGTCCCCGCTCCAGCCTCTGTCCCCGCTCCAGCCTCTGGCCCCACCCCAGCCTCTGTCCCCGCTCCCGTGATGTAGTTCATTGCACTACTCATAATATCAATCGTTGGATTGGCTGGTCCAAACTTGATTATTTTATGGGTGCTATAGCTGGAATATTGCTGAGTGCAGTATTAAACAACAAACAAACTAAAAATATATCATTAAAAATATATCCTAGCATAAACGGATCCAGAGGGGTCCAGGGGGTCCAGAACCCAACCCTACCCCCCACTTTGAAAACCAAATGTAGTATGTTGTAGGCAGTAAAATTATCTGAAAGGATTTTGATATTTTGGACGGCCCCTTTTTTAAAACTGCTGGATCCCCCCTTGCTTAGTGTGTATGTAAAAGTGTGCTATGTGGAGTGGGAGTGTGGTGTGTGTGTCCATCTGTGGTAACTGATGTCCTTCCATTGCAGGTCCAGATGATGAGAAACTCAGCTCTCATTGTGGTCATGGCTGTCCTGTTTGCTAGGGTAGGTACACCACTCACTGATGGGAGGTCTTGGTATACTTACTTAAACTGTCCAACTGTTCAAGGTCCACTAAAGGCTGAAACTCACTCACTGTTATCATAGTGTACAATGTGACCCGTAGCAACATCATATATTTGCCCAGTGTCACATGTAATTTGTTAACTTAGGAAGATGTCATATATATGCCCAGTGTCACATGTAATAGGCAAATTTAGCATAATGTTATATGTATGCCCATTGTGACATGTAGTTTGCAAATTTAGCGTGACGTCATATATATGCCCATTGTGACATGTAATTTGCAAATTTAGCATGACGTCATATATATTCCCATTGTCACATGTTATTTGCTAAATTAGCATGACATCATATATATGCCCATTGTGACATGTAATTTGCAAATTTAGCATGACGTCATATATATTCCCATTGTCACATGTTATTTGCTAAATTAGCATAACATCATATATATGCCCATAGTGACATGATATTTGCAAATTTAGCATGACGTCATATATATTCCCATTGTCACATGTTATTTGCTAAATTAGCATGACGTCATATATATTCCCATTGTCACATGTTATTTGCTAAATTAGGATGACAACATGTATACGCCCATTGTCACATTTGGTCATTTACGAGGATGCCATCTCTGTTCATCAGGTCATCAAATGGTCTCTGAAACAAGACACTGGCTAATTCACTCAGTAGAAATCAGTTATTCCTTGCAGCTCATAAGTTTTTCTCTCACCTTACTTTCTAGGAATGGCCGACAGTGCAAGGTGAGCTGGGTGACCTGCGGGAATTCTACGACCCCGACACGGTGGAGCTGATGGAGTGGATCAAGTGAGTCTGGCATCTCGGGATGCGGAGCATGCATCGCACTGGGCTTACTGCATCCTTACTGCTGGCATTGTGGTTAAAAACTGACATACAAAACAGCAACCAGCTCACTGCCAAAAGAAACGCAAACCATAGAAACATACCATATTTTCTTGAGTATAGTGCGCACTTTTTTTCCAAAAAACACAGCTGTGTAGAAGGGTGTGTGCATTATACACGAATTAATGAGTTTTGATGTTTTTTCCCCCCATGGAAAGACGTTACCGTGAGCACGTAACACCGGAAATACCATGTCAACAAATCCATACTGAACATAGAGAAGTATGTACGTTAAGAAGAGATGTTTCCAATGTGTACCAATTAATGACAAAACTAACGATCAGCCAAGTGTTACCACAGAGTGTCTTTTTTCTTATCACAATATGCTGCATGTGATTTTCAAACTTTACGTGCTAATCCTGCACGAGGCAAATGGTGCATCTTGAGTCATGGATCTATGACGTCACATGTGATGTTTTCATGAGCGTCAGTTCACACAACATACCAGTATGTTTGTACATCGAACTAATCTAGTATCTCTTGAATATGAGTCATTTTTCATGTATTTACCAACATGTATGGTTTTGCGTTTCTTTTGGCAGTGAGTATGTTTATAGAAACAGCTTGTGTTAAAATTTGTGCCATATTTTGATCATCTTTATAGACAGCTTGTGTTAAAAGTTGTCTGACAGTTTGACCATCCATATAAACAACTTGTTTTAAAAGTTGTCAGTTTGATCATCCATATAAAAAGCTTGTGGTATAAGTTGTTTGACAGTTTGATCATCCATATAAACAGCTTGTATTAAAACTTGTCAGACAGTTTGATCATCCATATAAACAGCTTGTGGTATAAGTTGTCTGACAGTTTGATCATCTATATGAACAGCTTGTGTTAAAACTTGTCAGACAGTTTGATCATCCATATAAACAGCTTGTGTTAAAAGTTGTCTGACAGTTTGATCATCCATATAAACAGCTTGTGGTATAAGTTGTTTGACAGTTTGATCATCCATATGAACAGCTTGTGTTAAAACTTGTCAGACAGTTTGATCATCCATATAAACAGCTTGTGTTAAAAGTTGTCTGACAGTTTGATCATCCATATAAAAAGCTTGTGGTATAAGTTGTCTGACAGTTTGATCATCCATATGAACAGCTTGTGTTAAAACTTGTCAGACAGTTTGATCATCCATATAAACAGCTTGTGTTAAAAGTTGTCTGACAGTTTGATCATCCATATAAACAGCTTGTAGTATAAGGTGTCTGACAGTTTGATCATCCATATAAACAGCTTGTGTTAAAAGTTGTCTGACAGTTTGATCATCCATATAAACAGCTTGTGTTAAACCTTGTCAGACAGTTTGATCATCCATATAAACAGCTTGTGGTATAAGTTGTCTGACAGTTTGATCATCCATATAAACAGCTTGTGTTAAAAGTTGTCTGACAGTTTGATCATCAATATAAACAGCTTGTGGTATAAGTTGTCTGACAGTTTGATCATACATATAAACAGCTTGTGTTAAAAGTTGTCTGACAGTTTGATCATCCATATAAACAGCTTGTGTTAAAAGTTGTCTGACAGTTTGATCACCCATATAAACAGCTTGTGGAATAAGTTGTCAGACAGTTTGATCATCCATATAAACAGCTTGTTTTAAAACTTGTCAGACAGTTTGATCATCCATATAAACAGCTTGTAGTATAAGTTGTCTGACAGTTTGATCATCCATATAAACAGCTTGTGGTATAAGTTGTCTGACAGTTTGACCATCCATATAAACAGCTTGTGGTATAAGTTGTGTGACAGTTTGATCCTCTGTCTCCCAGCAAGGACATTCCCAAGACCTCCTCGTTCACCGGCAGCATGCAGCTCTTGGCCGGGGTGAAGCTGTGCACGGAGAGACCAATCACCAACCACCCTCACTACGAGCACAAAGGCCTGCGCATTAAGACCAAGGAGGTCGGTTCACCTTCTGCAAGAAACATCACTGCAGTATTTTAGGCACATTAGGTCTCTTCGACTGGAGCAATTTCTATTTATTACAATAACATATAAATAAAGTAAGAAAACATGGTTATGGGTAACAACTTCTAGACATTTCGATGGAGATTCTTACACCGTGCATGTCATCATGTCCCAATTGTATGGATTGATGCTCATGATATCAAACACTGGATTGTTTGTCCAGACTTGATTATTTACAGACCGCCGTCATAAAGCTGGAATATTGCTGAGTGCGGCGTAACAACAAACGAACAGATAACTAAGATTGGCCTTGAATAAACTGCTGTTGTGTAAAACTGGTGTGAGACGGGAGATGCTGATGTCTGTTGCAGCTGTACCAGATATACGGCAAGCGTGAACCAGCAGACGTCCACGCGATCCTGAAGAAACACCAGAGTAACTACATCATCCTGGAGGACTCCATCTGCCGTGCGGCCTCCACCGGCTGCCGCGTCCCCGACCTCATAGACTTTGACAATGGACAGGTATGTAGTCAGGATAACAAGAGACCTGTGCCCTGTTCCACAAAGCGATCTTAGTTCTACGACTTTTGTAAACGTATGCTAAAGTATGGGAGTTTCAAACATCTTAGCACTAAATTTTGAGGTTATGGATCCATGAGCCTTGGAAAAAAAATTGCTCCTGGGAAAATAAAATATTTACGATAACTCTTTTCAATACCTGAATGATCCTTGTGTCTTCTGAAACAAAACGTCATTGATATTCTGATCAACTGTATAAAAATATGGCATGAAATCCAACTCTGACACTAACTTCAAAGTCAAATACTGATGGTGTTAGAACCATACTCCCTACCTCCCTTGCTCATTCACACCATCCCTCTCACTCACTCACTCACTCACACCTCACTCACACCTCACTCACTCACACTCACTCACACTCACTCACTCACACTCACTCACTCCTTCACTCACATACTCACTCACTCACTCACTCACTTACTTCAAAGTCAATTATGGGGCGGTCGGGTAGCCTAGTGGTTAAAGCGTTAGTTCGTCACGCCAAAGACCCGGGTTTGATTCCTGACATGGGCACAATGTGGGAAGCCCATTTCTGGTGTCCCCCACCGTGATATTGCTGGAATATTGCTAAAAGCGGCGTAAAACCTTACTCACTCAAAGTCAATTACAGAAGGTGATGGAACCATACTCCCAACCTCGCTTTCTCATTCACGCCATCCCCCTCACTCACTCACTCACTCACACTCACTCACTCCTTCACTCACATACTCACTTCATCACTCACTCACTCACACATGGGGATCAGGTAGACACAAGATTCATGTATATACTTTCCATATATTTTATCCACATACTGTCACATCAATTGGGTACAACTCCAAACTGATCATGTGATCTTGAAATAAAGTTGGGATAGATGCTTTCTCATTAATGTATCTCATTTGTAGTATTACCGACCTTCTCCCATTCACCTGACTTACCTGTTGCTAACGACTTTTTCAGGTGCCGGACAATGGAAACAAGGAAGATGGGCTGGAGTACAGCAACACCCCACGCTTCTGTGAACAAATACGACATGATCAACCAAATTTTACCAAATATTTCAAGAAAGTATTCGAGAACAAAACGTTTAGAGTTCACCAAGTGCTCTGATATGGGGGAAATATTATTGAATGAGTAGTTATACCATGTACACCCATTTTGCCACCAGAAATCCCAAAGGTTGTGATTGCATAATTCTATTTTTTTCTCCTTCAAATATATTTCTCCTTATACTACAGCTGCCATGTTTATTTTTTACACATTGGACATTTTTACATGAACACAGAACACACTCCTTGTCAGGCTGAATAACTGCTGCAGAATGAAACCACTATTTAAACCTATGCTTAATGCTTACTTCTGATGAAAGTACCTCTCAGCGGGGTGGAAAACGTTTACAGCATTAGACAACAAACTCTATACTCAATGATTCTTGTAATGGCAATACCCAGAATGGCAGAAAGATAGTTGCTGCAGCACCCAACACAACTATCCTCAATGCTCAAAGTCTTTTTCTTGCAATATTAGTATCAAGAATAGCTACGGCATTAGACAACAGCCAACTCCATGCTCAAAGCTTTTGTTTTGTAAATAAGAGTACCCAGAATTGCTGCAGTTTTAGACAAAGAACATCTCCTACAGTCAAAGCTAATATGTACAATATCTAGAATGGATGGAGTCCCATCAACCTTCTTCCATGGTCAGTCATCTTCACCAGTGCAGGGTATATTTGAAGTCTCCCTTTTCATCATAGCCCATGTTCTGTGTCCCTCTAGATTGTGTGGATCTTCCACTGGGTGCAGCTACTGTGTGTAACCCTATGGTCAGTAGATCTGTCTCTCACACTCTGTTTTGGCTGTGTACCAGCGTAGTCCAATGTTCAGTGAGACCCTCAATCTTCTCCACAGTTATACATTCAGCATATAAAGGTTCATTTATCCCCAAATCCAGTTCTAGATGATGATATTTAAGAACCAGAATGGTTAAATATGTTTTCCGGGGATCTCTACTAAGGTCTTGTTTTTTCATGAACACAAAGCGATCTTATCACTACGATCATCGTAAGCCTATGTTAAAGTATCAGAGCTTCGATTGCCTTAGCGTTAAGATTGCTTTTGGGAACGAGGCTCAGGGTCCTGTTCCTCAAAGCGATCTTATCACTACGATCATCGTAAGCCTATGTTAAAGTATGAGAGATTTGATTGCCTTAGCGTTAAGATTGCTTTTGGGAAAGAGGCTCAGGGTCCTGTTCCGCGAAGTTCCTCAAAGGTGATCGTAAGTCCCATACTTTAGCATACCGGTAGACTTGCGATCATCATAGCACTAAGATTGCTTTGAGGAAGGAGAGGCTCAGGTCATGTTCCTCTCCCCGACACACAGACTTTTGTACCTGAAGAGAATGGATGAATCAATCACATGACATGGCTAGATGTATTTTCATATGATCTGATTTTACTATATTTTTTTATGACTTCCTGAAGGCAGTATCATAACATTAGCTGCAACAGATAAACAAACTGCTTCCTTGTTGAAGACAGCCATGTAGAGGTTTCTCCACATGATATTGATATGTCTGGAAGTGTTTTTAGAAGGCATTTATGTTAAGTGCTAATGGACAAATGATGAATAGAACAAATCCATGACATGTGCTCACAAAGCTCCCGGTCCTACGCCAGTTATGATTTACGTTTCTACATAACCTGTAAACCTATGATTGTGGGTTTGAATCCTGCTTCGCCTCAATTATTTCTATTTTTGTCAGCACCATACCCCTGCTCGTGGGTTTCACCAAAGTGGTAAACATCTGAGACCTGCACTACTTCAGCTTTTCCTACCACATTAAGCTTACATGCCGTGATATAACTGGAATACTGTTCGGCGGCGTTAAACTTAAACACTGACTCAACCTTTTTGCTCCCTGTTTACAACCGTTGTGATTTATATTTGTACAATGAGACCACAGAACATATCCCATTCCAAGTGATGCTTATTAATTTCCTAACAGCATATCTCATCGTCAAAGGGTTCCTCCACAATTTCTGCTTGCAGTTACAGCATTGTCATGTCCAGAAAAGGAATTCCATTGTGACCTATTTAGGTCTCAAGAGTTAGGTCTTCCAGCCTTTTGGCATCACCCAGTGGTTTCCTTGAATGACCTACAGTACCGGTATTTTACAAATGCAACCTTCAGTGATAGTCATTCTTATGTCATCTTACTTTCTCATTTTAGAGCATTGTGTGAAATGTGTGACTGTATTAATGGTGTGGCGTGTTAGTGTTGTACATGAATGAATCTCACGGGGTTGGTGTTATCAGGGTATTTGTGGTGTTTTGTTCAGATGGTCTTCAGTGTTTCATCATATAGGGTCAGCATAGAACTAGAAGAAAGGTGTCTGTGACAGGTCTATCCTGCACATCTAATGTTCAGGGTGCTGAAGTGGCACTGTATGGATCAGGCATGAGAATTTTCCCCGGATTCCCGTTTTTTTTCCTCTCAGAATGATGTAAAATGCACTTATTTAATTCCTAGAACCCCCTAGATTGGCAATGTTCCTCCAAAAACCAGATTTGCAATTCTCATGTCTGATGGATGCTTATTATTATAGGTGAAAAGACCTAGGGCTTCTGCAAATGATAATGCCCTAAAAAAAAACGTTACCATTATTATAGCTAAAATGGATGGAATTTTTTTCAAATAATAAGAAACAACAATATCGGTTTTGAAACATTTACTGCAATCAACAGGAATGCCACTGACCCACTTTTACAAATATGGAAACTTCATAGAACAAACCAGATGACGTCACTATTGAACGTGACGTCACCTATCCCTGACGTCATGGCCTGCTCATTTCTGATAACATGCAGGCGGTTTAATGATAATTCTATCCATTTTAGCTATAAAAATAGATACTCCAATCACCCTTGGACCCATCCCCTACAGCGGTCTGGTCAGACCACCTCAGGGGTTAAGACCTAGGGTCCTTGTTTTCACATATTGACCTCGCCAAGGGTAATCATTCATTTTGTAATACCAAAATTCCCTTTAAAGTTTATGAAGCCTTCAAACCATCCTCTGTTTCATTACAGCAAAGATGTATATACATGTACGTCTTTGATTTCAGTAACTTAGCTGAAACCATGAAATGTTAGTACCAGATGCCATCTTGTTTACTGGCAGACTAGTCAATGTTCATCACGTGGCAGGTCAATACTGATCATGTGACAGAGTCAATATTAGAGCTCAGTGCCAGTCCCATGATTGGGTGTCTACATTAAATGTATTGTTTGGGCATGTGGCACAGATTAACTCTTGGAATTGCAAGACTCTTAAAAGAGGTGAAACAAACCAAAGTGTTGTGTTTGTGTCAAAGAGTGTAGGTGAAGTAAAGATATCACTCTCAGGATGGGAAAAGGCCTACCCAGTACTGTCGTTGTCTTCAGCCTGTTGTCATATAGCTGTTATATTGCCGAGTGTGGTGTTTAACAACAAACACACACACGCAGCTTGGCTTAAGGCTAGAGAGTTATTTTTCTTTAATGTTTTGAAAAAAAAGCATACAAAGTTGTAAACTGTTATGCTACAAACAATAGTCTCTGACAAAATAGCTAGCTGCTTCATGGCCTGTTTACTTGCAGTCAGTCCATTGAAGGATGTTTATCGATGTATGGACAAGTTGTAATTACTAGTAGCTGTCCATTTCTAAGATGTTATGGACATATGGACTAGTTGATATTGTATTTACTAGGTGTTCATTTCTAGGATGTTATGGACATATGGACTAGTTGATACTGTATTTACTAGTTCATTTCTAGGATGTTATGGACGTATGGACTAGTTGATACTGTACTTTCAAGTTGTTCATTTCTAGGATGTTATGGACATATGGAAAAGTTGTTACTGGTAGCTGTCCATTTCTAGGATGTTATGAACTAGTTGATACTAGTAGCTGTCCATTTCTAGATGTTATGAACTAGTTGATGCTAGTAGCTAGTCCATTTGAAGGATGCTATTGACAAATAGGTACAGTGTGTACGATGAAGCAAACAATTTGTAGGCTAGCTAAAATGGAAATGAAACGTCTGTCATAAACATACTAGTGTTTAAGCATTTGGTCATTTCTTAAACAATGTCAGCTTGTGAAAATTTAGTGGACATGAATTTTTAATTATGAAACAAATTGATTCTTTTATTGAACAAAGCACTCACAAGTTCTCAGAGGGAATATTTAGTAAAAGACCTGCCCTCTGGGGATCTGTCAGTGATGTCAGGTTGTTTTCAGCAGTGTCAACATGACCAGGGCCTAGATTTTCGAAACAATCGTAGCCTTAAAATTATCGTAAAGTTATTGAAAGGAAATCGTAGGCTATCGTAGCCTATTTTCAAAACTATCGTAACCCTTAGATATCGTAAGATTGTCATAAATCTAAGATACCTGTCGTAAGTTTATTTTATCTTCATCCAAGATGGCGGCATACTTTGCCATGGATATTTTTCAAACAAATAATCTGCTTTACGATCAAAAATTGACATTTCATTTGGTTAAACTGTGTGATTCAAATTGACACTTCGAAAACATGAAGAATGCATCAAAGGTCTTTTACACAGTTTTATCTTTACACAGTAATGAAAGAGAACCACTTGTGTTTCACAAGCTTGAAAGAATATCAATATTTCCTGTATCATTCATTCAACTGATGCAATTGTATGTCTATGCAAATAAATTATTTTAGATGAATAAAAACTGGTTTGTCTTGATTTTATTTATTGATTTTATTTGTTTGTTGTTTTAACGCCACACTCAGCAATATTCTAGCTATATGACAGCGGTCTGTAAATAATCGAATCTGGACCAGACAATCCAGTGACAGTCATCATCATGAGCATCGATCCATGCAATTGGGATACGATGACATGCATCAACCAAGACAGCGAGCATGACCACCTGATCCCAGTAGTCGCCTCATACAACAAGCATGGGTTGCTGAAGACTTAATTCTTACCCAGATCTTTACGGGTCTGTCTTGGTATTAGAAAACATGGACCGTAGAATCCAGAAATGGTGCCTTCGGTCCATCACAATGGGATTTACTCTCACATCTAATAGTCATATTAATCATGTACTTTTTATGATTTATGTTGTACATATTTAAATGTATGTACTGGACACATGCAGGGAGAAGGGACCTCTTTTAAAAGCATTAAGATCATTAGTCTACAGATTGCTAAATGACTGTCACATTAATGGGTGCATGCATTTTTCCGAGTCTTGAGAGAGCAGTACCATTAGCCTTGTGGCTTACAATATCTTACCATCACTAGTAGTAACGTATAATTTGAATACTAAGAATGAGTGAGTGAGGGAGTTGGGTTTTAACGCCGCTTTTAACATTATTCCAGTTATATCATGGCGTGTCAGCTTAATGTGAGAGGAAAGCCAGAAGTGATTCAGGTCTCAGACGTTTACCACTTCATTGAAACCCACAATCACGGGTATGGTGCTGACAAACCTAGAAACATCATCGGGGGGAACCAGGATTTGAACCAATGATCATAGGTTTCTGGTGTGCCCAAGGGATGCAACTCTGCACAGCGAGTCGCTGCGCCTTAGACGACTGGGCCAACCATGAATACTAAGAATGAGAAGTGATGACAATCTAAATGAAATCAGTGTAAGGCCACTGTGACCTACTTTCAATGAGTAGCAAATGCAAATATTTTTGTTCTGTTAAAAACCGCCAAGGGACATCAAATTTAGTCACTTGGAAATACTTGTAACCCATATTGAAGGTCAATACACTCACAATGACCTACACTCAAGATAACTCAAGAAGTGTAATAGGATAAAATGTGGGTGGAACTTGAATTGATAAGCTTTTGAGCAACTTTATTGAAGGTCAACGTCACATGAATAGTCATTGTAAAGTCCTGAACCAACTTTCTGTGTTGTAAGAGCAAGCATCAAAGATCAAGGTACCGGGTAGTTAAATCTGAAACGCAAATACCGTCCTTATTGAGGTAGCTAGAGGCTTTGGAATTACTGTATTAGGGATGTCTTGCATTCAACAGTTGTACAGTTCACATATTGGTTTTATGGGTCTAAAATTCCTCAAAGGGTTTTGGTGATGTGGCATCACCACTGGGAGGTGAGGAGAGGTGAGGTGAAATGGGGTTTAACGTCGCGTCCAAGATTATTGCACTTATATAGCGACGTGCATGCACGTGTGTGTGTGTGTGTGGCTGTTTGTACTAGTCTGGACTGATGCTGATTTTATAGCGCTCGCCCACTGAGACCCCATGCCGCAGTTTAACATGAATACCCCACTCAGACACAGTATACTGACTGCAAGCCGACCAATCCTTGTTTTAGCCCCTTATGCCGAGCGCCAGACAGGGAGGAAATGTAATCATTAATGTCTCTTGGTATGATGCAGCCGGGGATCGAAGCCTTCCGCTCTCCAGGCAGACGCTCTTCCACTACATCACCACTGGGAAGAAACATGAGTAATTGGGTGATGTGGCCCTCATAAGTGCCAGTCAGGGCCTTTTCTGATTGGGTCCTTGGTCCCCATTCTCCCCTGGCATCCCAGCTGGCACTAGGCATAAGTGCTAGGGTCTTTTCTGACCTGAGTGAGTATGGATGGATGTGTGCACGCTTTTTGCAGTATTCCAGCAACATCATGGCGGGAGACACCACAAATGGGCTTCACACATTGTACCTATATGGGGAATCGAACCCGGGTCTTCAGCATGACGAGCGAACACTTTAACCATTAGGCTACCCAACCACTCCTTTTCTGACCTGAGGTGAGGTTAGGTGAAATGGAGTTTAACGTCGCGTCCAAGATTATTGCACTTATACAGCGACGTGCATACACTGTGTGTGTGTGTGTGTGTGTGTGTGTGTGTGTGTGTGTGTGTGGCTGCTTGTACTAGTCCGGACTGATGCCAATTTATAGTGCTAGCTCACTGAGATACCGAGCCGCAGTTTAACATGAATACCCAACTCAGACACAGTATACTGACTCCGAGCCGACCAGTCCTTGTTTTAGCCCCTTAATGCCGAGTGCCAGACAGGGTAACAACAAGTACCATCTTTTAACGTCTTTTGGTATGACGCGGTCGGGGATTGAACCCCGGACCTTCCGCTCTCCGGGCGGACGCTCTACCACTAGACCACGGAGGCGTTTTTTTCTGCCCTGAAATCCCACCGGGCAGCACCAGAGTATTTACCTTCAGTGTCAAGTTGATGCATTCACATGTAGCAGTGAATATGGTTTGCACTGCTTAAATAAATACAAAAGAGTGTGTATTTTGTATAAGTTTATTCTAGAAAAGACCCAGCCTGGGAGAGAAGAAGCTGTGAAATAGAAAGTAGGAGGGAGGGAAGGGAGGAGGAGAGGAGGAGGCATGGTCATGAGGAACACTGCTCAGCCAATCAGCAGCCAGGAGTAGGTCTGGCATAGATGGCGTTGTGACCAAAGCCAGGGTTGCTAATCTACAGTTCAGCATGAGCCTCAAATTTGACACACTTGCCAGTCTCACACACACAAACTTGCACACACGCACACACATTAATACAACCAACACACGGGGCATTGTGCACAAACACTGACAGTGTGTAGAAATAAAATTCACTAAAAGAAACAAAAGCATGTTATAATACATTATCTGTGTCAATATCCAATACTGGGCACGCTATACAATACATTAAGTCTTAACTGAACATGAGAAGTAAATTAATACATCAACATTCTAGAATTAGATTCCATATTAAAGACAACACTAGGAAATATATACAGGCAGTGGCTTGTTTCCCTGCTCTCTCCAGCCAAACAAACAATAACAAGACTCAATGATGCAGTCCAAATCTCAGAACTATACAAACCATTCTTGAATAAATTAAAATCTACAACTTGAAAGTTAAGGAAAGACTTAATTCATTGGTTATCTAATGAGGATACCTTTTGTGTTTTCTTGGAAAATAGGTTGATGAAAACGAACACTACGTGTTAAAAAACAACCAGGCCTAAAACAAAAGTTTGTTTGGTTTCATCAAAAGGTGGGGGATGTGTGGTGCAGCAGTCAAAATTGAGCAAACAAAACCTGCTTCTACAAAACAAAGTATGATGTCGCACCACATTCAGAAGATGTCCACTTTTATTTTAGGCCTTCGATTGTACAGGTTAACAGGAAAGTTGAATAGCTGCAGGAAAACTCACTGACTATATTAACGGCCATTTGATAACAAGAGGATGTCAAGTGGTTAGCTTACTTCATGCTGACTGCACGAAAGAATAGGAAAATATGCTGCTTCAAAGAAGTTAAAGAACACCAGATTGTTTTGTATGACTATTGTAATTCTGTCATGTCATGACAGATTAACTACTCATATGAAAGAATCGGATGATCCTAAACTTCTTTTGAGCAGTATATTTCAAAAGTGTTAAAAATAATAACAGTGAACATGACAACAATTATAGGACTGAGATATCAGGGATTCACTAGACCTGCTCAGAGGCTGACATTAGGCCTCATGGCTGCAGCAAATGTCATCGAAAATTCGGAAATGGTTATCATAAATTTCCCAGTTGACGCAATAAGTACTAATTTTGTGGCTATGTAGAAATAACCTGAAAACAGGACCAATAAAGAGGTTCAAATGCTTAGTTTTTTAATTTTTGCATTGAATGCAAACTCAAAATACACTGTAAAAATACCTCTCAGTTTACGAAATAATCTATCGCAATTTGAACAAAATAACCAGTTTCCCCCAAATTGCCTGCCTGGATCACTTGGTCCAGAATCCTGGATAAATCCACGGATATGTGGGACTCGAATCTGTGGCCTGTTTCTAATCCATGGTAAACCTAACTATGCCAGAGGGCAAAAACGTAATGATAAAGAATCGAGTTCTTGTAATCACCATCTCAAAATCAAATCGACAACTGACGCTAAGGATAGAAGAGGTCCTCAAAGGCTAAGATAGAAGAATGAACTACAAGAATAGAATGTGTATCATTACATCAATATGACGTCATCATGATATCCGATGACAATGGGATCATACGTAAGTAAAAAGATTAGGAAAAGGCCACAGCTCTGAGTCCACACATTTGATCAAGATACCGTTGGATGTCCAAATGTTGTCAGAGCACTATTTCACTAAATAATTCCATCAAACGTCTTTCATAAGTCCACCACAGTAACCATAGTAGAAGAAAGTCACACCCTTGTCTCACACCCGACACACTGAGGTCTCTCTATAAGGTATGCATGGTAGAACACAAATTAAGGTCACCATGGAAACAGCATAGTCGAACCTCCAGCCTGTCGAAAGATAAACACAGCATTCAACGCCACTCAAAACACTTCAGATCTTCTTCTCCTAAAAGTCAAACAGCCAATAAGAAACAAGAAGGCTGCAAGGCAACAACAAGTTGGGTGTTACAGACAGACGAGGGGCCATCAAAGACAAATGCCAACAAGGAAATCTGGGCATGAAAATGTACAAAGTAAGAAAATGGAGTGGGGCAGCTTGATGGATGGTAGAGCTGCCATAGTCAAATAGGTATTCAAACTTTAATGTGGCGTAATGCAAAAGGTCCACTTCAAATTGCAAAAATTAATTCATTTCAAAATTCTATACACTACAATAAGTATGATTCAAATATGAAGGACAATGATCTTGTATAGTTTTATGTACAGTCACAGGTCACATGGCCGCACAGCAACACACTGTACAGGTCACATGGTCGGACGGCAAACCGCTGTGCAGGACTGTCAAAGGCCACATTGTGTGACAGTTAACCGTTTCGCAGGCCCTGACTGGGAACCATTGTCCAGGTCACATGCCCTGACAAGAACCATTGTGCAGGTCACATGATCTGACAACTGACCATTGTGCAGGTCACATGCCCTGACAAGAACCATTGTGCAGGTCACATGATCTGACCATTGTGCAGGTCACATGCCCTGACAAGAACCATTGTGCAGGTCACATGCCCTGACAAGAACCATTGTGCAGGTCACATGCCCTGAAAACTGACCATTATGTAGGTCCTCCTAGGTAACCAGTGTGTTCAGTCAGTACAATCCAAGTTGCCATGTCTGACAAGTGTATGGTGACCAGACACTGGTCGTGTGGCAGCCAGATACATACACACCTTCAGAACTTAACTCTGGAATGTTCAATTCCTAGAACCTGTAGAAAATGAGCATACTTGACTTGACCAAACTCCCAGTGGTGACAGTCCCATGTTAAAACTGACAAAATACACATGTCAGTGACTAGGGGCGTCATGGTAGTAGAACAGTTCACTTCCATCCTCCTTCACTGAAAACTTCAATCATAAAACAATAAAAGTTAATATGTAACAGCCAAGATCATGACTCTGCCCTGGCCCTGTAAAAGGGTATAGATGTACGTTGATGCAGGTCACTTTCCTGACTCAAAGTGTCCAGTAGTTAAAAAGGGTGAGGCTATTACTACATGCTTTACAACTCACTCACTCCTTCAATATCTGCAACATCAGCACATTGTCATTCAATTTGTTGCTCATTGTCCAACTCAAGACACGTGACTTATGGATTAGACAGCCATGGAGAGGTCAACAGATGTATACTACTATAAAGGAGTAAAGAACATCCGATTAGTTTCATATGATTAAAGTCAGTCTGTCACGGCCATGGCAGATTAACCACAGTAATATGAAAAATCAAGTGTTCTTTAATTACTATTGACTAGTATATTAGGGATATATTTCCCTCATCCTTTCAAAAGTCATGTCACCCTTACCTTGAACTCTGATCTCAGAAAAGAAAACACATTGTAAATATTAATAAAAAATTCTGTGATCTGACAGGTTACAGTAGCCTTCTTTTCCAAAATAAAGATTGACTTACAGAGGCCTTGCAGATTTCAAACAGACGATGAAATAGAAATTTCTAATGAGTGCAATATAGCCTATACTCTTAAAACATCTTCAACGAAATAGGAATGAAGAGTTCGAAAAATAAGAGTTCAGCATACAGACGCTAATGACATACCTCACACCAATATCATCCAAACTATACCGTAAAAATGGATGAAATATATATGCATACAAACACATAAGGGCCCTGCCCACAAAGAGATTTCAGCACTACGACTATCGTAAGTTAATGTTAATGTATATGAGTAATGATCCCTTTAACACTAAGAGCCCTTTTGGGACCTGGGCACAGGTGTGTAAGTCACAAGTCTGTCTCAAGGAGTTAGTCTGTTCTCAAGGTGTAAGTCTGTCTCAAGGAGTGAGTCTGTCCTCAAGGAGTAAGTCTGTCCTCAAGGAGTAAGTCTGTCCTCAAGGTGTAAGTCTGTTCTCAAGGTGTAAGTCTGTCCTCAAGGAGTAAGTCTGTCCTCAAGGTGTAAGTCTGTTCTCAAGGAGTAAGTCTGTTCTCAAGGAGTAAGTCTGTTCTCAAGGAGTAAGTCTGTTCTCAAGGAGTAAGTCTGTCCTCAAGGTGTAAGTCTGTTCTCAAGGAGTAAGTCTGTCCTCAAGGTGCAAGTCTGTTCTCAAGGAGTAAGTCTGTCCTCAAGGAGTAAGTCAGTCCTCAAGAAGTAAGTCTGTCCTCAAGGTGTAAGTCTGTTCTCAAGGAGTAAGTCTGTTCTCAAGGAGTAAGTCTGTCCTCAAGTTGTAGGTTCTTCTTTCAGTTCACAAAGAAAGATCCTGATACAAATAGTTCATTGGGTCCCTGAAAGGAGCGAAGGAATACATCACCTACTGTGAGCGACATGAGGGTTTTTGCAATTACCACATCAATCTACAGCAAAATATCAAAAGTAAATATTTTCCTTCGATTTTCTTATCAGTCAGTACAACGCGAGTCGAGTTAAGGCATCACTATATATCTTGACAATGCCCCTGGTAATCCCTGTACGACCTGAACACTTTCCATGGCTGAATCCATCGCACTCATGCTTGTTTCCCATACAATGGCAAATATTTCAAACTTTCATGACTGTTCAAACAATATATTGACAGATGACATTTCCCACTTGGCAAGGTCAATTTACAATTAGATTAGGATTTCAGATTGTTTACATCTCAACAGCTGTACAATATTGTTTGGATACAAATGAAAATATACACGATTTACTTAATCATAAATAAGATACTTTTGTTTGTTTAAAAATTCAAAGTATATATAAGAATGTCTTTGAATCACCTGTCACATGTTAGAAACTTGAAAACAAGCAAAAACTTCCTCAACATAACGTAACAAAACTGGATTGTTGAAATCTCTAAACAAACATTGGATTCTCGTCATCCAAAATAACTTTGCAGCATTATGATTGGATAAAATGGTTGAGAGTCCAACCAATCACTGCTGGTAGATACATTTTTATAAATATGGATTAATGAGCTTCTCTCTCCCTCCTGGTGGAATTCACAAATTCTCAGCTTACATTCATATGAGACAGCTGGCCCTATGGCAATAAAATAACGTAAAATATGAGAACAATCAGTGATCTCCGAACTGGTTAGTTTTCAAACATGAATATCCTTAAATGGATCAAACAGACAAATCATTCAGCATCACATAAACACATTTCAAATGTGATTACTTTGCCCAAAATATTTTTGATATTTAAAGTTTGACAAATATTATATCATCTTTTGCCCAGCTGATGAGGTAGAGAGCAAGCTGCAGGCCAAACATCCACACAACCTGTGCCTGCTCATCTGGAACATCCCCACATCATCAGCTTCAAGCTGTCACTGAGGTTAAAAAAGAGAGCTATATCATTAGTTTTGGTAAATTAAACAGAAACAAAATCATTCCAAACCGTTAGTCACAGAGAGCAGTTACTTGTTCACTTTGACAGATAAAGCATAACTCATCAATGGTGTGGTGGAACTCGATGATGTATTGGTGTGGTAGAACTCGACGATGTATTGGTGTGGGGAACTCATCGATGTATTGGTGTGGTGGAGCTCGACAATGTAGTGGTGTGGGGAACTCGACAATGTATTGGTGTGGTGGAACTCGACGATGTATTGGTGTGGTGGAACTCATTGATGTATTGGTGTGGTGGAACTCGACGATGTATTGGTGTGGTGGAACTCGACGATATATTGGTGTGGTGGACCTCGATGATGTATTGGTGTTGGGGAACTCGATGATGTATTGGTGTTGGGGAACTCGACATTGTATTGGTGTGGTGGGACTCGACGATGTATTGGTGTGGTGGAACTCGATGATGTATTGGTGTGGTGGAACTCAACGATGTATTGGTGTTGGGGAACTCGATGAAGTATTGGTGTGGTGGAACTCGACGATGTATTGGTGTGGTGGGACTCGACGATGTATTGGTGTGGTGGAACTCAACGATGTATTGGTCTTGTGGAACTCGACGATGTATTGGTGTTGGGGAACTCGACGATGTATTTGTGTGGTGGAACTCATCATTGTATTGGTGTGGTGGAACTCGATGATGTATTGGTGTGGTGGAACTCGAAGATGTATTGGTGTTGGGGAACTGACACTTGTTTAAAGTACGATATAGTAACTAATGCTGAGCCCCATCCCTAAAGCATCCATACAGCTATGACAGTTACAAATCTATGTTAAAGTATAGAGTTACCGCAGTCATAGTGCCGACGCTTTTTGGATTGAAGCCAAGTTTTCCTTTTTGGTGACAGGTGTCAATTACGTTGCCTACCTGTATTAATACAATACTTCCTTTGGGGCAATACAGATATTGACACTTGTCAATTCAGTTGTTGAGGTGCATCACCACAATGGTCCCTTTGTGACGATACAGTTGTTAACTCGTATCAATCTGTTGTGCTGTACATGTGTTCAAACAAGTATTTGGACCTGATTTAGTATCAATCGGCCAAGTTGACCAGTTGAACCTTTACGTTTGACACCAGTGAATGTGTGCGACTAGAGAGTCCCTCGGCGTTCATACTGACATGGTTCAGATCCAGGTTATAGGTCAAAGACAGATCTTTTAAATTGTTCCCTGATGAAGCGAAAATATTGAATATACATATACTACTCAAAAGAAGCTAAGGACACTCAACTGGTTTATATGGCTATAGTTAATCTGTCACTTTCTTTGAGTGGTATATACATTTATTTAGCATCTGTACTGGACCGTTTCCTTACTGCATGCATAGGATGTTTAAGGAAAATTTGTGCATATTAATGGGCTGTTCTACCCTTTGAGACCAAAGAGTGGTTTAGTAAATTAATATGCATGAATTTCACTTAAAGGTCCTGTGATAAAACCCATCAAATGTGGAGGAGCAGCCTTGAACAGGTAAGTACTCTCTGTGGCAACCATGGAGGAATTGTGTTTGAATAGTCACCAAATGCAAACAATCATGTCTGCATCTGAACCAGCCGGTGCAGCAGATGACGTGTGATACACACACACGTAATCCCCCGTCATCACCCCCCACACACACCTCGTCCTCTACTTCCTCAAAGGATCTGGAGTCTTCTTCATTCTAAAACTGACTCATCTCACAGAAATCATACACAAAAACTTACAACATAAATCCCACGATAAGCCCACATTCAAATTGTTGCAAAACAATCAAAGGCAATAAAAGATAAAATAATCATATAAAACATTGAAGCTAAACTTGGAATCCATAAAAAAGCCATACAGTACTAAGAAAGTGACATATCAAATATGGTTCAAAACCACAAAGTGATGGAGACACTAACGGATAAAATCGAACATAATTTCAGAAACTAAAAATGTGAACATCAAAAATGATGTGTGTAAAAGAAGATACATATCAAGAAAATGCTCCTAAGATCACATGACTATCACATGACTATTTCAAGGCCTAACTGTAACAAGATTACATGAAGCCACTCAAAAACAGAAGCATATTGGATACAAAGTGACAAAAAATACTTCAAGATCCATTGGTCTGGTTAGCGATGTCATTAAGCCTGAGGCTCCATAGACTGTTGGTTTTCTAACTTTGAGATACGGTAGGGAATAAAGGTTAAATCTCTCATGGTAACATAGCAGCTGTTGTCCAGACTACACTGACTCCATCTGTAGTCATAGCTAGTAATATCTGGTCAATTTACAGATTCCTTGAGCAATGGAAAGAGCACTTGTATTGCTGTAAAATGTTAAATATATTTCTATGTCTACTATCTGAAGCAACATATACACTTATTATATACATGGTCGACTATCATGAGATTCTAGTGCTACCCTAGTTACTTCTTTCAATGGAGCCCCACGCTTCTAGCTGCAGTTGTCCTGAACCAACAACAACCGTATTGTAACCACCGATGTTCACTTCCTGTCTGTCATTGCTGAGATGTCTGATGGGATGAAATGTCAGCTGCTAGTTGCCGTGGTGACAGAATAATAGAAAAATAAAGGATCATGTCTCTTGCCCCGAGCTGACCGTTCAGTGACCATGGGCAAGTTGACATCATGTGAATGAATGATGTGCTATCACAAGTGCTAGGAATCCTTGTTAGCTTCTCCGAACTTGTGCTCCATCATGAAACACTTGACCTCTGTGTGGGTCATGTCATCATCTCCAAATTCTGGGAAATCGAGACGTAGTTCTGGCACATTTAGGTCTGCTAGCGTGTCACTATGGATAAAGTCACGTCTGCCTTTCCCTGCATGGCACCTGACAGGCTCGGACGCAGGACTCTCGCTCCGACTGGAGTTGTCAGTGAACACACTATCTACGTCTGATAGAACGTCCAAAACGGCGCCCTCTGAGGAGGCTTTGGTCACAGAATCCTTCTTTGAGAGGAGCTCCCTATCCCCACATCCCACCTGTACTTCCTTTCCGTTCGGCCCAAGAAACCAGTCAGAGCGTTGCCGAAGTCTTTCCAGCTGTTTACGTTTCACAGAATTAAAACGGCTCAAGCTGCGACTATGGTAAAACGTTTTAACTTCATTCAAATTATCTTCCACTGACTTTGGTCGCTGGAAAACAATAAAAGAAAGAATGGATTACAATAGTACATTTTAAACAATAATCACTATGCCTTCAAAAAATGTTAGGCAAAAGATGTTGGGTTTTTTCAATGAAATCAACATATTAAGAACAGATTTTTTTCATGATGGGAATGATGTTAAAGTAGAGTGATACAAGGGAAGTAACTCTATTACTTCCGAGTCTAAGCAGTTCAAAATGTCTGATAATGTCTGACTTTGGCATCACCTACGTTGAAGACCTCTAGTAAAGAGACATAGAGAATATCCTCTGAGTGTCTTTTGATATCAAATATATCAACAACGAATGCTGCGAAGTGTTAAAGATTTATCGACAAGTGTGGATATATTTCGTATCAATGGACAATCATTTGAGATTCTATTTATCATCCAAAATCATCCTTCTACTTTTTTAGCTTGTAAAGAGCAATAACCAGTGTCCTCAGTGTAAAAAGTACAGCTAACCAGCTTCAGAGAGATTAGTGATGTCATTTAATTGTGATGTCATAGAAACCAATGATGTCACTATGGTCTGCAAAGTACTATGACGCAATTTCAGTGTTGTAATATCCCCTTGTAGACATCGCTTGATATGACCTGAGCTATATCTCCTGTGGAAGCCAGTTTTGGCAATGATTTAAAACAATCATATTCAAAATAGCGACAATTTATGGATAACTTTTTTTTTATTTACTGAAAAGGCGATGTTTCGGTATAGATCCTTATACCATTGTCAGGCAAGCCTTGCTTGACAAAGGTATAAGGATCTATACCGAAACATTGCCATAAAAGTGAATAAAGAAGTTGTTATCCTTAAATTGTCTCTATTTTGTTCATCCGTCAACTTCTAAGAAATGCCTATCAAGCAATTCAGTCATATTCATACAAATTCACAAAAAGATATGACGTTGGCTACCTTTGAAACTTCTGGTGATGGCATGAGCGAGACCTCGGGTGCGGAGACGGTGCTGACAGTGTTTACAAGCTGGGACTCCTCCATGTCTGGGAATGGATGATGTGACGGGAACGGAGAGCTCGACTCGGGACTTTCACTGGGAGCATGTTCGTGCTCTCGTTGGGAGTCCCCTCCGGTGCTCGTCATCTCGATGATGTCATCAGAAACATCTATAAATTTACCATACCAAACTTGACACTCACATGAACATTGTGATGGTTACAAAGCAATTACATCTGCAGACATTTTGTGCAAACAAGTAGAAATATCACAAAAGAAAAAACTGATGAAATGAAAACATTTACATTAACTCAAAAAGATAATGACCAACATATTAATAGATGTTTAACCTTTTTCAACATGACGAGGGAAACTCAAGAGTGAGTGAGTGAGCCGCTTTGAACAGTATTCCAGTTACATCACGGTGTGTCAACTATACAAATAAGCACAAATTGATACATGTCTCAGATGTCTCAGATATTAACCACTGTGGTGAAACCCACAAGCTTTGGATTGGTGCTGACCAACCCAGAAATATAACTGGGGCTTATCGGGTCTCGAACACACAATCGGGTTTCTGGCGTGCCCAAGGGACGCAACTCTGTACAACGAATTGTGGCACCTTAGATGACTGGGTCACCAATGACCCCAGAAACTCAAGAGACTTCTGGTACAATTGTGCCTTGCTAAGCATAAATTATCCATGACCATGCACTCTAAGAGATATGTAGCTAATATAACAATCTTCCAGCTGGCTACAATGCTGTCCTACTTGACAAGTCTACACAAAGAGAAGCATGCTAGCCATAGTTCTGAATCTATCCCATCAGCAACACACTATGGACACTGGGGCAGGAGATGATTCTACTGGAATGTGCTCTTTAGCTACTACTGGAATAGTTGCAGATTTCATTTGTAAGTCATTGTGTGAGAGGGTGGGGTTTAACGCAACATTGAGTGCCAAGTGATAGCTTAATGTGAAAGGACATTGTCTTTTTCCTCCTTGTTAATACCCATGGTGCTGACAAATCTCATAATTGACATGAATATGAGATTTGAACGAGAACAGTGGACCTGGAGGCTAAGGGACACAACTCTGCCAAGAGAGTTATAGCCCCTTATACAACTGGGTGACAACACAACCATCTTTGAGAATAGATTGTACTTGGTGGTCATGAGTGAGGTGAGCGAGTGAGTGAGTTGGTTTTAACGCCGCTTTTAACAGTATTCCAGTTATATTGCGGCGTGTCAGCTTAATGTGGGAGGAAAGCCTGAAGTGATGAAGGTCTCAGACGTTTACCACTTCGGTGAAACTCACGAGCACGGGTATGGTGCTGACAAACCTAGAAACATAATCGGGGCGAACCGGGATTCAGACCCACAATCATAGGTTTCTGGCGTGCCCAAGGGACGCAACTCTGCACAGCGAATCTTGGCGCCTTAGACGACTGGGCCACCGTGCCCCCTGAGGTGAGGTGAGGTGAGGTGAGGTGAGGTGAGGTGAGGTGAGGTGAGTAAAGTGAAATGGGGTTCAACGTTGCATTCAAGATTATTGCTCTGATATAGCGATGTGATGCACATTTGTGTGTGGCTGGTTCACTAGTAGGGACTTATTCTGGTTTTATAGTGCAAGCCCACTGAGATACCATGCTCATGCAGACAGAGCATACAGACTCCCAGCTGACCAGTCCTTGCTTATCCCTTAAGTGGCAAGAGCCAGGCAGGGTAACAACAAGTACCATCTTTTAACATCTTATGGTGTGACACAGCCGGGGATCAAACCACCAACCTTCCTCTTCGAGCAAAAGCTATATCCACTACACCATAGCACCATTACAAGTACTATCCATACTCAGCTGCTGTGTCAGTCATTTCTTATAGAGGTGAAGGGCACCTGTTGTGCATCCCCACAAAGTGTTAGGTAAGAAAATCTACAGTGGTTAGACTACAGAGGCAGCAGAGAAGAACCAGCAAGAAACATTCACACAGCCTTCAGGCACTGTTCAGATGTAACTGCAGAACTATGTACATGACCTAATGATCTCATCAAAGCAAATAATAAATTCAAGTACCAGAACAAAATTAATTTTCAGCTTCTGAGTAGTTACCTCCCTTACATTTGGCAGGAAGTTTCTCCATAGATGTAAGCTCAGTTAAAAGTTCAGTTGGTATTTCATTTTGGCACCATCTGTCCTATATTTTCAGCACATGTTCAATGTCTGTACTAGGGCTGGGACAGGTAACTCGGGTGCGTACTGAGTAGGACTACCCACTACCCACAGGACTACCCAGACTCTATGGTAACACTACAAGTCACTAACGTTAGTGGACCCGTGAAGATCCAGGGTAGAATAGGTCTTCAGCAACCCATGCTTGCCGTAACAGGCGACTAAGCTTGTCGTAAGAGGCAACTAACGGGATCGGGTGGTCAGGCTTGCTGACTAGGTTGATGTATGTCATCGATCCCAATTGCGTGGATCGATGCTCATGATATTAATCACTGGATTGTCTGGTCCAGACTCGATTATTTACAGACCACCGTCATATAGCTGGAATATTGCTGAGTGCGGCGTTAAACAACAAACCAAACAACCAACCAACCACTAACATTCACATTTCTTTCTGACTATGCACCCATTCCTTTTGACTTTTTATATGGTTGAATAAAGATAACGCTAAAGTCAACTTCAGTGTATGCATGACCAGATTGTTTAATGCGGGTATCTAAATATGTTTTGCCAGGGCTATGGTCAAACAATTCCCAATCGGACATTGTGTACCTATCTCTTGAGACCTACAGCGCGTACCCGGGTAGAGTCAGGTAATAGAGGGGTGGGTACCCGGGTAGTAAATTTGGACTCGTCCCAGCCCTTCTGTACATAAGCAATCAAAGGAAATACCCAGATTAACAATCAACTTGACAATGACACATATACATTCTTCTACACCAAGCAAAGAAAGAAAACTGAATACAAAGCATTCTTAAATTTGGCAAACAAACTCAGAAAAGCTCAAATCTGATGAAATGCTGATGCTACAGAGACATAATTTCAGAATTATTTCGCCAGTGGATCAGCCAATGAAAAAACAGCTTACCATGTTTGTCAAGGTCAAAGCCAAACTTTTTAGCCTCCTTCTTAAGGTAGTTATTGAAGCATCTCATTGACTCCTGGCCTGAACATGCAGGAACAAACAAAACACATGCTGGGAGGGTGGTGGTGGGAGGGGTGGCGCCACCTACAGGCACCAGCAGGTGCCCCCAGGTGGGCCGAGAAAACACAAATAAACATGGATGTCATCAAACCAGGAACTGTTGGGTCACGAGTCAATAGTTGTAACTTTTCATCGCATTTCGTTTGATAAGCTTGAGCTTATGAAAGTTCTGAAAACAAAAACTAAATGCCATAGTCCTAATTACTTGATATGCTACTTTTAAAGAACAAAAAGATTTTTATAAAAAAATAAACATTATACAACACAAATTTGACAAACAAGCAGCCTTAAATTTCTAAGCCATCTTACCAGAACATTTCATTAATGTAAGTGCTGTTGTTTGCAACAGTTAAATTGTTCAAGGAATAAAAAAGAACTTAAAAAATTCCAGCACATAGATGAAACCACATTTCTCTCTGGCAGACTGACTGGTGTGACAGTCAGGGCCTCTCGAGAGATAATGTTTTAATTTAAACTGTCATATCGGAGAATGATGTCTCGGGGGAGCCACGATGTTTCCTAGTTTGATGACATGAAAGTGAAACAAAAAACAGGAAATGTTGTACATGTGTCCCCAGGACAGAGTAAGGAAGTTACTGTCAGTGCTAGAGGATGGAGAAATTAGGTCAGGAATATGACCCTTTATTTAGTCTTAAAACGGGACATATGATTAATGTGTCCTTCGGTTAGTGCAGGGGTTCTGAGTCATAGGGTGGATGTGAGTTGGCAACAGTTCCAGGTCCTCTAGGCAAACTCATTAAATACACTGATGATGGCCGATTGACAGTATTGTGGACACTGGTCATTTTAGCATTTGAACAGATACTAGTACCTGGATAAGTGCAGTATATAAATGTAAAATATATTAATAATTAACAAACCATGTCAATTAATAATGTCATTATTGCTTCACTGAATATAACAAACAATACTGCTGACTTGTTATTGTATTCGTGAATTAATATTCGTATTCGTTACCATATGGTACATGTAATAAAAACTTGTAATATCAAAACAATAGATTGTTTATTTCATAAGATGTCTGTTTTATATGCAACAATATAGTAGAGGTATATATATTCAGAGATAAGTCTGAAGCAAATAGTGTGAAGCCCCCAGTCTAGTGGATTGTTCCAGTAAGTTTAGCAACAGGTTATAATAATCTACTGTAAATGGTGAGTTAGAACAATCCTCTATATCTCTGGGGCTCACTTTTTGGTAAACCTACACTAACCCCTTGATCCGTTGTTCTCGCAATCTCAAATTATCTGCCCTTGATTTCCATTTGCCAATTTAATTGGCTACACTACTAGATCTAACATACCAATCAGAATGCAAGTGACAAACCAGCCTCAATGGTGGTTGGCCAGTCTCTTTGACTATGATCGAGTTTGCAAGAAATTCAACAATGAGAAACTGATTGACACGCAGAAGAGAGCCCTTAAAAATCTTCTTATCAAAAGGATGTCTTCATGTCCATGAAAACTGGCGGTGGCTTTGGTTTCTAGGTAATACGAGTTACCTCCCTTACCGTTATGTCAACATTTGATTGGTGGGTAAAATGTAAATCAAAATCAAGGGCGGGTAATTTGCGATAGCAAGAATCATGGGAATGGCTCCAGGGGTTGGTGTAGGTTCACCGGAATGCAAGTCCTGGAGATATAGAGTTAGAGCTAGTAGAATGAGAAGTGTTTGGCACAAAACATTATCCTCATGGAATAATATCAGCAACTGTAATCCTTATACTATCTTTATCTTTTCATCTGAAGATGGCGATTTCTTCCCATTACATGCTAAATGCTCAGCATCAGGTGACTCCATAACCATTGAACTATTGTACATCACTGAGTATTTTAGGAGATCATATTACTGTAGTTGCTTCAATATCAGTAAATGGACATGAGGGGAACAACTGAACAGCAATTATTTCATTTCAAAATTAAAAAGGTCACTTATTAATCTCAAAGCCACTGATGACAATAACTCAATACAAGAAGAAAATTAACGAGCTAACAGTTAAACACAAACCATGAACACAAAACAACGTTTAAAAAGAGAAAAACAACAAAAAACTGGAAGACTAAGAAAAAGCAAACAACAGCACTACTTACGAGGTAGAATTTCATCTGATGGATATTGATACTGGTAGCGGAACTTCTCTCGCACTAAGATACCGGTACTGGTTATTTCGGTGAAGTAGTCAATGTTTTCCCGCCCGAACATTGCCGGACATCCAAAGTTATCGATGAGGAGTTGCATGATGCGACTAGCCTGCTCCACCTTCCCAGGATCCTCTGCACATGTATGAAACATAGAGCCAGCACAGCTCCGTGCCAAGGCCTCCACCGTCATGGAGTTGACCTCGGAGTTGCTCACGATACGGAACCACGTCCCAAACAACAATGTCAGAATCTGCTGGTGAGCTTTGCTTAGTGTCTCAATAAAGCTGAAATACAACATCAAATAATCATCACTTGGCTATAAAGTTACATAACAAGGATACTACTCAAAAGAAGTTAAAGAACACCCAATATTTTTCCAATGACTAAAGATAATCTGTCATGGCCATGACATACTTACTATATATAGACATAGGAACCAATCAGGTGTTCTTTGACTTCTTTTGAGTAATATTTATCACGATAAAACATACATCTTTCAGATACAATTTCCCTTAACATTGTGTTTAACTATAATGTATTCATTTGTGTAAACATAATGTTATACAAAAGTTTGGAGTTTATTTCTATATATAACTGTATCAGTCATATCACAGCCGACAATGGGCACTAACATTTCCTATATGAAGAAAATATTGCCAGTACAACTTACTACAAGTATACACAAGACCACCCGATCCTGTTAGTCACCTCTTATGAAAGGCGACTACGCTTGTCGTAAGAGATGACTATGCTTGTCGTAAAAGGCAACTAAGAGGATTGGGTGGTTAGGATCACTGACTTGGTTGATGCATGTCATTGTATCCCAATTGCGTAGATCGATGCTCATGATGTCAATCACTGGCTTGTCTGGTCCAGACTTAATTATTTACAGACTGCCGTCATATAGCTGGAATATTGCTGAGTTCGACGTTAAACAACAAACAAACAAACAAACACAGTTATATCGTCTAGCAGATGATCTAACTGCATGGTATGGTTTCGGAGGTCTTACTCGTGTACGATCTGGAGCTGGTCTTTCTTGTGTCCGATTGTGAGCACCTGCAACAGTCGTTCCTCTCCCTCCGCCGTCAACACCCCACCCGGCAAACGAAGCAGGAACCGCTGTTAGCAAGAATTTAGTCATGTTTCAAACCTAAAAAATGTATCAAGCTTAAACAAATGCTTAAAGTCTCTCTTGTCCTTGGAAATGGTATTGACCAGTTCGTTCAGTATGATTTGAATTGTTGGATGATTTGACATACCGTATTCAACGTAATAAGTGCCCCATTCTAAGAAGCGCCCACAGCGATATTTGCTCATATACTGGCTAGTGAACAATCCCAATTAGCACCCCATCCGATTGATCAATATACACAAGCCTTATTTATTCACGTATAATATGCACTCATGTGTTATATGCACCTTTAATTATGGCCAATTAAATTCTGGAAAAAATATATGTCGTACATAAACATTTCAGGCTGTCAGCATAAACCACAAAATTTATCTTTCAACTCTGTATTTTCACCAAAATTATATTCTAATAAGAGCCCCTATTTCTAATTTTGAGAGCGCTTATTACGTCAATTTGGTAGTTCTTGATTCTGCCTCTTTTTCTTAGTGACAATCAAGGGCAGGATTTTTGAACAATGTCCAAAAGCATAATAACTACAAGAGCCAGAACTAAATGTTGATCATGACACGTTTTACAAACATACAACTTAAACATTCAAGAATACATTCAACATATCAGATCTCTCTCAAGTGTAGATCATATTTTCCAATTAAAAAAAATGCCTTGGATCCATTTGGAAAAATAACTTTGGCGTCATCATTGGACATGCATGCCAAATCTCATATCAGTCAGTTCAGCTGTCTCAAGGAAGAGACTGTCTTCAAAAGGCAAACAATCGTCTGAGCCTACTTTGACTTTTGTCCTAGAATGTAAACTTTTTTTAAATCTAATTTTGGTGAAATATGATGTAAACAAATAGTTTCCAAGCCGACTACCATTTTCAAAGCCACATCACAAGAACACTGACATTTGTGTGACTACTTACTTTTACGACAGAAGCAAGTGTATAAAAGCTGTAATTCATGTAGATCACTTGCTTTCCCTTAGATAACCTGTTAATAATGTGCCGGATATCAGTCGGGTTTCCAGGGCGACGGAAGAGGTCCACTGTGCATACCCCCTCCTGGGCAATGTGCACTAGCATTTCCTGCGATAGAGAAATTACTGTCTGTACAACTCAAGGCTTAACCAACTGTGTCATGTAAATGATGTAATTTGGAAATAAAGGGTGTCGACAAATTGAAATTTAGAAAATAAAAATTGTATATTTATATACTTATCCTATCTCACACTATTTGCAGCTGGAAACTTTGTTCTAGGTGAGGTGAGGTGAAATTGGGTTTAACGTCGCGTCCAAGATTATTACACTTATATAGCGACGTGCATGCACGTGTGTGTGGCTGTTTGTACTAGTCCAGACTGAGGCCGATTTATAGTGCTAGCTCACTGAGATACCATGCCGCAGTTTAACATGAATACCCCACACAGACACAGTATACTGAATCTGAGCCGACCAGTCCTTGTTTTAGCCCCTAATGCCGAGCGCCAGACAGGGTAACAACAAGTACCATCTTTTAACGTCTTCTGATATTACGTTGCTGGGGATCGAACCCAAGACCTTCCGCTCTCCTGGCAGACGCTCTACCACTACACCACAGAGGCGATCACTTTGTTCTAGGATGTTTCAACACCAAGAAGAAAGAGAAATGCTTAGTGTGAGATAGGCTAGGTCTAGAAACTTAAATATATACCACGTAGATTGAAATTATCATAATAGGTTTCACAGAAGTTTAATTTAGGTTAGAGAAAATGACTAGCTTAATCAAGTTAATACATGCAATATGTAACACTTAAAGTCTAACATTCATCAGTTTTGTTACCATTGTCAAATCAACATGATCACCTACTGGCCAAGAAAGTTAAGAAAACAAGAGAAAATAGGTCAGTTGGATCGATGACGAACAATCACATCAGCTCATTCTGATACAAAATGAAAAATATATGTATACATATGTATGGTATATGTAAGTTGTTATACATATTATAACATATAAACTGTAAAGATACTTTTCATTATCATGATTATGGCATGTACAAGACAGAGATGTACCGGATGCAAAAACCTGCATCTTATAATCATAAAAATTGAAAACTGAAACAAAATAAATACAATGTACATATACACTGTGACAAAGACATTTCATGTGCACGTTGAGGAATGAATACTGTTATTTCATAAAATAGTACCACTTAGAATTAATTTCCGTACATAATCATATAAATAACTACAATAAAAAGTTGAAAGCTTCATGATCTTCTAGGGCTACCACATTTATATATGTTTCAGTTGAGGAATTCCATATTTAATTCTAACTAACAGCTTTATAGAGTACTGTATTATTGAACTCTGGAACCCTTATTTTGTAGCATTGGACCCCTTTTTTTAACCTGGAACCCTTACAATTAAAGGCCTTGATTTCCCTGGACCCCAATATATATAACCCAGGTAAATCCCTGCACAAGACATTCTTAAGTAGCTGCATGCAAATTGACTAAATGTGTATTCATTTCTCGTCCTATCTTTTATATATGGAATAGTTCTTTAACACGATAAGTGTCATACTCAAGACTTTGTTTGACATGAAGACAAAAGTGAAAGTGCAGTCCTAATAAAACACATCCCTGATAGCTAATAGCATGAAATTTGTCCCTAAATGCAGGATGCAGTTTTTCCCCAGATGCATCCAGAACCCACCCGGGAGACCATCTTCCCAATGTTCTCCTAATCAACATGTCATCAGCATCCACCTGTGACTAGGATGCAAGAAGCAGGAGGACCTGTTCTACCACTGATTCCCCCAGAGGGAGGGTCAGGGAGGGCCTATTGTGTAGGATGTAACCATATATCAACACAAGGGTCGCAGCCATTTCAATAGATTAACAACTGTTTTTATTCTCTCACTTTGTTAAGGTATAAATAACAAAGGTTCAACTTACAACAAAAGGCAGAGGAAGATATCCATTCTTCAAAGCTTTGTGTAAAGGCAGATCAAAAGGAAGTCTGAAAAATAGATTCAGCAGAATATAAATCAATTTCATCATAAGCATAAAGACTGTCAAAAACTAACACAACTTTCATGCACTGAAACAACCCAGGGTGATAAATATATTGATGGATCTGTCATTTACTGATCTTTCATAAGGAACTATATATCAGAACATCACTTTGATGAGTTTTGGTTACATTATTAAATTAAATGGTCAATCTTAACACATTAAACTATTGTTTATAAATTCATAATGAGTGTTGTCAAGACAGGTGTTGACTTGTGTAAATGTTTACTACAACAGAGATAACCACAAACATTGGATAAAGATGTTGAATAATAACATCTGAACTATAATCATAAACAAATAGGTTTCACAAAGGTCATGTCATCTAGTGTGTAAGTTTCATAAGAGTGTGTCTTCTAAAAACATATAGGAAAATATTTCCTTATCATGCTTATATCTAAAAATATTTCAATGGATTCAAAACAAACAAGCAATGAAATCAAACATATCAAAATGACTGTCCCTGGCCAGTACAAGTCTATGACCTGTGCTTTAATTTAGTCAAAATATATGAATAATATTTCAGAGGAAACTTGTGAGCATGGTCAGAAGTCAATAAAGTAGCTCTCTTGTTACACCCTACAGTCAGTTTAAGGTACAACAGACCCCAATGGATAGTAAAAATAGTGAGTGAGTTGGATTTAACACCGCTTTTAATAGTATTCCAGTTATATCGCAGCGTGTCAGCTTAACGTGAGAGGAAAGCCCACAGTGATGCAGGTCTCAGAGGTTTACACCTTCAGTGAAACCCACGAGCACAGGTATGGTGCTGACAAACCTAGAAACATAATCGGGGCGAACCGGGATTTGAACCCACAATCATAGGTTTCAGGCATGCCCAAGGGACACAACTCTGCACAGCGAATCACAGCGGCTTAGACGAATGGGCCACCCGTGCCCCCGATAGTAAAAACAAGTCCAATGCAGTTGTATACAGCAGTAAGCGATATCCAAGCTTTATCAAACACAATGAGATGTGGCATGATGACATCAGTAGAGCTGAGCACGGCTTGGTATCTTGCGATACGGTTTGTATCACCCTACGGACTGACAATACTACAGATACACGATTCACCAGTTTATCTGAAACTGACTGGTAACTTGACATTCAACATGCATTGGGTCTGCCAACGAACAAAGATTTAAGACTAACTGCTCAAATTGAATCACTGCGCAGCGGTAAAAGCTAACAGTTTTAGTCCACCAGTCCTAATAATGATAACATAAAATGCAACCCTTAAAAAGGGTAAATTTCTACTAGTCCTCATGATGCTTTAACTATTGGGCAGTTTGGCAAGGACTACAGGACTAGTGCCAATTTCGCATGCTTCTGCGTACACCCTCAAAATTGACTGAATGGAAGGGCTGAGTGAATCTGGCTTAACACTGCTTTAACAGTATGACACAGGCAACAGTGACCTGCTGTTTGTTTGTTTGTTGTTTAACGCCGCACTCAGCAATATTCCAAGTATGACGGAGGTCTGTAAATAATCAAGTCTGGACCAGACAATCCAGTGACTGACATCATGAGCATAAGTCGCCTCTTACTGCAAGCATGGGTTACTGAAGACCTATTCTAACCCGGATTTTCATGGGTCTAGCGACCTGCTGTCTGGCCAGCAAGGCTCAGATCTTACAAGTGTTGTAGGGGCAGTGGGGTAGCCTAGTGGTAATGTGGTCGCTCACCATGCCAAGACACAGGTTCGATTCCCCACATGAGAAAAACACACTCACTTTGTTTCAGTTAACTTTATACACTAAGTTTTAACATACTGTGTTGACTGATGAACAAATGGTTTGACAACATGGAGAGTATGTATTACTTACACATGAGCACGCCTACTCTCTGCTCGCGAGCTTCTGTCTGAGACACAGCCTCCCAACACACGGAGCATGGCCATGTGTGAACGTATCACAATGATGTCACAAGACGCACACCGGGACAAGTGTCCTGGTCCAGCTATGGTACCAGCCAGTCCATTGTCTGCAGCGTTTCCACGCCGGTATCCAATTCTCGCTGGTTCTCGTCTTCTTTGTCACACGGTGGGATCCGTTCCTGAAACACCAAACAATCATAAATTTTTCATTATCTTAATGTCTTAAGTCCTTTTGGGATTTAAAGCATAGAATTCTTTATCGAAAGTCGACACCTTGTCCCAATGACCAAAGGGGTTGCCCTGTCAGTACAGTATCATTCAGTGTGTAACCTGTGAGAAGACTCACACTCTGCGGTTGTTCCACTAGGGACACTAGTCAGTGTAGACACAGCCCCAGTTGATATCTTCACGATGCACAGGTGTTACCTGATTATAAAAGTCCAGTTTCCACCCTTGACGAACTAGGCTGGAATTTCTCTGCCAGTGGCTATTAAGAGTTATGTCCCTTCTATGTCCCTCCTACTGACCGATCTGTTTCAACCTCTCGCATCACTAGCATTTGCTTCAAAAAAAATGTAAAAACGATCTGATCGATAATCATTATCTATATTGTAATAAAACAGGTTTACCTAAACCATTTGAGCACCTTAAATAAAAACATGAAAAGATTAGGCAAATATCTGTCGCCACCCAGTTCACAGTACCTATTGCTTTGCAGTCCGACCAAAATGTATCTCCGGAATTCAGGTCTAGTTCAGCAAGGGTACAAACTGGACTTTAACAGTCAGTTAACTCCCTTGCCTCGGGAAGACGAGCAGATATAGACAACACCGAGAACTCAGCTGTAATGCTGACCAGTGACACTTATATTCAGAACATCATTTACAAGACACATTGCTTTCATCTTGCCTTGTACACCTGCCTTCGGACATGAACATCATCATGATAAACATCATAAACATGACCATCAGTAAAATCTCCATTTTTGAGAAAAACTCATAAAACAAAATCTATTCTTCACAACACAATTATGATGACAACTCAACAACATAGTCAAAAAAATTATTAATTACAACAAAACTAAATTCCTCACTGAGAATAAATGAATAGTTGTTCGAGATGATAATTTCCCAAGATCATGGTCGTTAATCATCTATGACAAACTTACCTAACGATAGCCCCAATGAAAAAAATATCTGTTAAAATAAAGTTGGACGACTATTGGTATAGTAGAGCTTGACACGGGCTGGTAGTGATGAAGTCCCAAGATGTCACACCTACACTTTCCCTGTTTGTACGAACAAACAATATACAGCACAACAATACTGCAACACAAAGGCCATGAGCTCAAACGTTATACAATAATTTCAAAACCACTGACACAACGCTGGGAATCCTGAAGCCATCCCACACCATCACATGCCTGCTAACTACTGTGACAGCAGGAGGTGCACTTCGTACCACAGGGGTCAAAGTCTCAACCCCACCATGCTCATAGTCATCTAACTTCCTACAAAAAAAATCTGTGACCACTACACAATGGCCAGTGTTACCGCTGAGGCCCCTGTTAGTTGAACATCCATCCTGCTCTTGACACCTGATTCCTGTTGCACACTAATGGCCATTTCCTATGACCACCAAGCCTGGAAGTAATGGCTACGACAAGAATGTGAAAATTGGAGGACGTAGAACCATTTCCTGCTGGACCCATGTTTCACAACATTCTACAAGGATGACATGACGACATCAATTAGATCGGTCCTCATAATTCGGACTCGCTGAACTATCAATGGATGCTGACACTCTGTAACGGATTAAAGTATCACACTATGAAGTTATGTATCAAAAATGATTCATGTATCCCTTTTGAGACAACTCCCCGAAAATGGCTCTTAACATCATTTTTATTAAGACTTTAGTGTAATTAAGGAATTATTATTACCTGAGCATATTAGACTGAAGAGCATATTTCTAGACTCAGGCTTCAGACCAGTGTCTGAAGTCACACACTGATGTGTCAATAAATGTTTGTTTGTTTGTTTGTTGTTTAATGCCGCACTCAGCAATATTCCAGCTGTATGACGGCAGTCTGTAAATAATAGAGTCTGGACCAGACAATCCAGTGATTGATATCATGAGCATCGATCTACGCAACTAGGAGACGATGACATACATCAACCAAGTCAGCGAGCCTGACCACCCGATCCCTTCAGTCGCCTCTTACGACAAGCATGGGTTGCTGAAGTCATATTCTTCCCAAATCTTCACGAGTCGTTAATAAATGTGACACTCTAATACCTGGTTCACATGCACAACATTTACTAACGTAAGTGAGTGAGTGAGTTGGGTTTAACGCTGCTTTTAACAGTATTCCAGTTATGTCATGGCGTGTCAGCTTAATGTTGGAGAAAAGCCCCAAGTGATGCAGGTCTCAGACGTTTACCACTTCGGTGAAACCCACAAGCACGGGTATGGTGCTGACAAACCTAGAAACATAATCGAGGCAAACCGGGATTCGAACCCACAATCATAGGTTTCTGGCGTGCCCAGCGAATCGCAGCGCCTTAGACGACTGGGCCATCCGTGCCCCCCCTATTGTAAGTAATTTTACACATGTTTAACTGTACATACATGCGTATACAAATGTAAATTTACTATGCGTTCACATGAAAAGCATCTTAGGTGTGTAAATAAAGTATGTAAATTGTGTAAGGCACACATATTCGTCAGTCTGTTCACGACTTTCAACATAAAAAAAGGTTGTTTTCCAATAAAAGTTAAATGAGAAGAGAATTACTTCACCGAAATTTTTTACAAAAGCAACATGTGTTTGATTTAATTTGTACACAAAGTTTTGACTCCTTGAAACCAAAAGAAAACACTGTTTGCTCAACTCTGTATATACGCATAAAAGTTGGCAACTGTTGATAATTTGTTTGGTGTTGGCAAAAGAACAGATATTAATTAGATCATCCTCTTGCCTTGACATAAACGTTCACATTGCAACATAAACACACAGCACAAATTTACATTTACATTTGCACCTGCTCTGGACTTGATGAAAATTTGCAAATATAAATATGTATACACACATGAGTAAACATGTTCCCATGACAACTATACTCATATATGTATATTTACACATATATGCTAATATACACACATATGTATAGAGGTACATGTGAACGGGGTATTAGAGGACATGTCACAGGAATAAGAAGGGGGTGCATATATACCATATTCTGACTACCACAGGCTCCAGATACTGGTACTTTTTCCAGCAATTGAGTATTTACTCAGATGTTATCCTTCACATTGAGTATTGATGGTCTATTGGGTTTGCAAACCTATGAATAGACTTCGAAAAAATAATTCTACTTCCATGCTGTGTAAATTCTAAATAATATATATAGTGTAAATATACATAATATAGGTGTACATAAGTTGAAAAGGCTACATTGGGTAATTATGCACAGTGTTGCTATACTATTGAGTTATTGACTGTCTTCATGTGTATTTGTGTCTGTATGCAAGAAACTCAAACTTAAAGGGATTATGGTTATTTTGTTTGCGTATTAAACACAAGTACGCAGCTTGTCTGGCGCTCTTCTACCTAAAACATGCAGAAGGAACGTGAAACTACTGATCAACTGACATGGTATAAACCAGTATGTTTATGAAGGGTCTGTAGTCATTCCCTTTTATCACCTGATGGAATACAACTCTTCAACCTTAATAATATGAGATTTTCGTTGCACTGGCCATTCTATTCCATCTATCCATAGAAATTAGTATTCTACTGTGTCATTTTAGAATCCTGCATTAAAATTGGACCACAAGAGGTATCAAATCTACACGAAACCATGATTTTGTTGATGACTGCCGTGATGGCACAAAAGAACATATTTATATATAAGCACTTGCTGAAAGTAGTACATCAAAGTAATTAGAGACCCGTGTTTACATTGTTCATATTTCACGACAATAACATTACATTCTAAGGCTAAGTGAACAGTTAGGACAAAAATATAAATAAGAGCAAACATATTCAGATGTTATGTTAATATTGAATATTCTCAATACTGATACTGTCCGAATATATGAACTTCCTTTATCAACGGATGATAGCTGGGACACAAAATAACTTGTTGATTATGAAAATCATTACCTGGTCAGCAATAAAGTATTCAGATACATACATCAATATCGGCATGAAATTAATACTATCGGAAAATCTGCATGCTTATGTTGATGGCATCAGTACTAAACAAGAATATTTGTAAAAAATAATGACCCTAGTACAGGACTGTTTGATACAGAAGTCACTACTGACAAGTAGGAAGCCCTGGGTACATTTTCAACACAAATATGTCAAGTGTTATAAATACGTCTTACATAACACTACCTTATGCATATAGATGGGGTTTTATACACATGCTATAGTCATTTAAAAGGGTGAAAGCCTGGAATTTGAGCAAACGCTGAGTGTATTCAAGAACTTATATCCACATTTTGACATGCTGAGATCTCCCGTATCGGAGTTGGTTCCATTCGTGATTTATTACACAACCAACTACGAATTAGTTATTAATCTGGGTGTCATTAACAGTTTGCCAAAATTATTACCGTGCAATCGTCGAAATCTTGCAGGAAATTCAGAAAAATTCACCTGAGGAATGAGATCCCAAACGACATATAGACGTGATTGTAAAGAAGACGTTCGATTTACTCAAATTCTGGTTTCATATGGTCAAATCACGTAGATTATAATACAAATACTTACACCCTTGAGGTTTGTGTTCGTCAAATGGCTACATTGTTGCCTAAAAGTGTCCAAAAACGTCCAGAAATTGAGAGTAACGGTCAGATAGCTACCTACGTGACCCGGAAGTAGATAATCAGGGAGGCTTCATTGTAGGTCAAACGTGAAGCAGGTGCCCGATTTGAGCTTGTGACTACAATAAAACCTGCCAACCTGTTTATGCAGGAAATATAAACGTAAAATACGAATTTCTAAACGTGTTCGACTTGATGTGATAATCAATGGAAATTAACACAATACGCATGCGTCACCCAGATACGCAAAATTGAAAACCGGTGTAAAATCAATAATATTATATGTTTTGGACCATCATTACATAACTGGAACAATTTACTTGAAATGTATTTTGAGTAAGAACAAATTAATGGGTCCACGCAGTATAACATCAAGCGCGGAAACCTCTTATTAGGAAAATTAGGGGCCCTTTGTTTAATTGGGAAAATTGTGTTGGATATTTTTTTTAAACGTGTAATAATGACCCGACCCGTAACTTCCGAATATATACGAGTTCAGAATGTTGCAAAAACAAGCGGGATTTGGTAGGGTGTGTGTTTGAATGTGTCTAAAATCGGACTTCGCACGCGCACACACACATTAGATATGTAGCCAGCATAGTTGAAACACGTACCACAGTTTAAGCCATCACTGTTCTGTACTCAAAGTCTTTACATTACTGAACTCCTATTCAGTTGCAATGCATACCCATGTACATTTGCTGGTGGCCATGCATGTAGTAATTTATTCTCGATATATATACAATTTCAAATTGGACCTCCACATCTGTCGTTTTCGGTGCTACACTGCACGTGTTTCACGTGCGTTCTGTGAGTTTTGTTGTTTTCAGGAAGTAGAACATTGGTTTCAGTTTCCGTTCCAAGTCAACAGTTTGACAATCACGAGGTGTCACAAATAAAATACATCCTTGTGTTTTTCTCACGTGGTGATGTCTGATTGTGCAAAATTTATTTTTACTTTATTCTTAAAAAAAAGACAACAGAGAACGCCAGCATGCAGTAAGTGATACACGCCATACTGCACTGACACCAATGTCATCGATATTGAGGCAGAGATTCTATTAAGTCTTATATAGACACCCTGCATGGTTTCACTTGTATTGATATTATTTGGTTTCAGTTCCTGGCAAATTCTAAAACGTCTCTGGAAAGCCATTCCAGATATTCTTTCCAACTATAACTTTGCTAGAGATACTATCTTAATATCACTCAGTTAGAGATACTATCCTACTATTTCTTAGCTCGAGAAGCGGGGCACGGGTGGCCCAGTCGTCCAAGGCGCCGCGATTCGCTGTGCAGAGTTGCGTCCCTTGGGCACGCCAGAAACCTATGATTGTGGGTTCGAATGCCGGTTCGTCCCGATGATGTTTCTAGGTATGTCAGCAGCATACCCGTGCTCGTGGGTTTCACCGAAGTGGTAAACGTCTGAGACCTGCATCACTTCGGGCTTTCCTCCCACATTAAGTTGACACGCTGCCATATAACTGGAATACTGTTAAAAGCGGTGTCAAACCCAACTCACTCACTCACTCACTATTTTTACTATCCATTGGGGTCTGTTGTACCTTAAACTGTGGTAAACGTCTGTG